TTTGAACTCATTTATTTTGGATAAAGTCGAGCAATGTGAAGTATACACCACTGTTATGTCCTTAAAAAATCGGAAAAGTCCTGGGTTCGATGGTATTAAAAGCGAGCATTTGAAAATTATAGCCGAGGACATAACAGAACCACTCACTTACCTAATCAACAAATGCTTTGAATCTGGCATATATCCCTCAATTTTAAAAAAACTTAATATAATACCGATACATAAATCAGGAACAAAAACAGATGTTAACAACTATAGACCAATATCAATAATATCCAGTGTAGCAAAGGTTTTTGAAAAAGTTTTATCTACTAGAATGATTCGATACCTCACAAAATTCAAAATTTTAAGTGAAAATCAATATGGATTTACAGAAGGGAAAGCTACATCGGACGCAATAACTAAAATTGTAAATCAAATACATCAAAATATTGATAACAGAATCCCTTCAATCTGCATTTTTGTTGATTTAAAAAAAGCTTTCGACACAGTTAATCACAAATTATTATTAGAAGCATTGGAGAGAATTGGTTTCAGAGGAAACGCGTACTCACTGATCGAAAGTTATTTGTCAAATCGCCCACAATCTGTGCAGATATCAGGATCATTTAGTAAAGAAATGTATATTAAGTGTGGTGTCCCACAAGGAACTGTCTTAGGTCCGCTGTTATTCAATATATATTTAAATGATATTTTCCAAATTAATTGTGTTGGCAAAATAACTAGTTTTGCAGATGATACTGCAATATTATATGAAGGCACTGACTGGTCTGATCTGAAAAATGTAATTGAAAATGATTTTATAAAAATTATTCGGTGGTTTAACAGTAGAAAATTAAGCATTAACTACTCTAAAACACATTTTTTACCATTTGGATCTTATGCAAGACATCTGCCAAATTACACAAACTTCTCCTTCAATATAAATGATCAAAAAATGCAAATTAATAGAGTGCCCAACATGAAATACCTTGGAGTGGTCTTGGATCCTCACTTACGATGGGACAACCATGTCAATTATATTTTAAAGAAAGTTAGATTTGTATCCTACAAAATTAAATACCTTGGGAATATATTGACAGAAAAATATCTTCGAACATTATACCATGCACTGATTGAGCCTCATCTCACATATGGTATATTAGCATGGGGAGCTGCATGTTCCTCACATATCTATAATTTAGATGTTTTTCAACAAAGTATTCTAAAAATGATATTTAAAAAACCGAAACTTTATCCCACTGAAAAATTATAGGCAGATGTTCGAATGTATGATATAAGACAGCTTTATTTCTTACACAGTATCACTCACTACCATAAATTTGTAAACACCGACCAAAAAATTAAACATAATCATTATACCAGGTACAAAATTCGTGGCACAGTAGTTCCTCAACCGCATAAATCTATAATGCAGCGATCATATCTCTATTTAGCGCCTAAATTTTATGAAATTATACCTAAAGACGTAAAAGATTTACGTTTCGGAAATTGTTTCAAAAGAAATTTAAAAAAGTGGCTACATTCTATATCTACGACTGAAATTCATAAACTCATAAATACGAACATCAACTAAATACATAATCTACTGTAGCTAATTTTTGTCCTTTTTTGTCATTTGCATTCTACAGTTTCAACTTAAATTTATTAGTCCATGTACAGGCGATGCCTTCTATTGGGCCTGTTTTGATTTTATATTTATTTACTCATATTTTTTGATATCTTTGTACATTGAGTGAATAAATATTATTATTATTATTATATTTAAAGCATGATGTGGCAACAATGACGTTTTATATTTGTTTTTATTTACCTTTATTAAAATGTTATCCTTGGTTTTTGTGGAGAAAGCGGTTTCTGAGAGCTGTGTAGTACAGATATTTTCAGTTATTGCCCTTTCATTCTAGTGTGTTAAGTACAGGGTGGCCCATAAGTCCTTTGAGCTGGAAAAAAAAGAATAAAACCAAACTAGTTACATTATGAAGAATTATTATATTTTGTTATCATCTTTATTGAATGAGAATTATGTTTTAAAAATCACATCGTCTAAATGCAATCCATTACGATCACGGCACTCTTATGAACGACGTCTAAAATTGTCGATGACTGCGCGGCAAGTCAACACTGTAATGCTTGCCATTTCTCTTCGGATATTTTCTTTCAGGACATCAACTGATCGCGGAGTGGTGTCGTACACTTTACTCTTGAGGTAGCCCCATAAAAAGAAGTCCATTGGGGTCAAATCTGGACTACGTGGTGGCCAGGAAATGTCTCCTCTTCGAGAAATTACTTTGTTGGGAAAAAGTTGACAGACGACGGGCATAGAAGTGTTGGAGGTGTGGGCAGTTGCTCCGTCCTGTTGAAACCAGGTCTGCGTATTATAGCCTGGAAAATTCTGCAACGCTGGTGTCAAAAACTCTTCTATCATTGCTACATACCGCTCCGAAGTAACAGTTAATGCGCGACCTCTGTCGTCCTCAAGAAAATAAGGGCCTACGATGCCATGCGCTGACTTAGCAGCCCAAACTGTAACTTTAGGGCTGTGTAAGGGCTTCTGATGCTTACCCCTTGGATTTTCGGGGCTCCAATAACGGCAATTTTGTTTATTTACATGCCCGTTTAAATGGAAGTGAGCCTCGTCCGAGAACAACACATTATTGAGCGAAGAAAATCGATTCAACATTTCATTCGCAAAGTTTAGTCTCTGAATAGCGTCATTATCTTTTAATTCCTGCACTAACTGAATTTTGTAAGCGTGCAGACGTAAATCTTTCCTTAAAATCCGCTGTAAAGATGTTCTGGGTACGTTTAGTGCACTGGAACGCTTACGAGTAGACTGGGTAGGATTTTGACGAACAGACTGTGCCACAATGTTGATGTTTTCTTCAATACGAGTTGTCCTTGGTCGACCCCACCGCTGTTTATCTAACGTCGAACCAGTCTCTTCAAACTTAGCAACCCAGTTCTTACTCGTTTGAGCTGTTGTACACTTTGTAAAATTGTGTAAATTGTGGTATTCTCGATATTTACGCCGCGCAATGGTTGCCGAATCATTAGTTTGATAAAACGCGCGCACACAAAAAGCACGATCCGCTCCAGTGAAACACTCCATGGCGACTGAATTCCCAGACACTGAAGATACTGCCCCCACCTCGCCCGCGCCGCTCACGCTCACCCGTTAAATTTTATACAAATTTGAAATTTCAAAGGACTTATGGACCACCCTGTATAACAAAATGCCTCGAGTTCGAAGACGTCCAAATTATCACCATGTTAGTGACTTTGACGGGGGTAGAATTATTGCCTATCGAGATGTTGGTTTTTCCCGCAAAATTGGCCGCCGTGCCAATTGTACTGCAATGATGGTAATGCATGTGTGTCGTGTGTGGATAGAAGAAGTTAGATGAACACGAAGAAGCGCAACTGGTGCACCGAGGGATACCACAGAACGTCAAGATAGGTGCTTCAGAGAACTAGCCCTACGGCACCCGTTTTGCTACGAGTACTACGCGTCAGATCACTGACCAATGGTTTGGAGAAGAAGGTAGACCTGTTACCATGCGTACAGTCTACCGCCGGATTCGAGCCTTTGTACTTTTTTCATACCGTCCACGGTTAGTGCTTCCTCTGACTGCGAACCACAGTCTTCAACGTTTGAACTGGAGCAAAAAACGGCAATACTGAGAGGCAGAAGGGCATAATGTCATCTTCAGCGACGAATCGCAATTCTGTTTAGGTACGCACGATGGTCGTAGAAGGGTAAGACGCCGTCTTGGATAACGGCGTGATATTGGATCTGCCGTTGTGAGGCATGTACACAAGACTATTGGAGTAATGGTTTGGGCGGGCTTTTGCATATGGTAGCCTATTACCCCTTCTCTTTGTTCAAGGCAATGTGACTGCTGCGCGTTATGTTGATGATGTCCTACAAACCATTTTATATACTGCTGTATCTAAAGGGCCGTCCACACGGCAAGGCATCGCACGTTCCCATATTGCTCGTCATACTACGGACTTCAAGAAGCAATGTTTTTGCCATGGCCACCCCCCGTTCACCGGATTTAAATCCCACCGAACATGTGTGGGATATGATGGGGAGGAGACTATCCACTTTGCACCATCCGTCACAGACTCTGCTACAGCTAATCTACGAAGTTCGAGTTGCTTGGGATGAGGTGCCACGACCAGACATCGATCATCTCTGTTTGTCGATGTCTAGACGTATACAGGCGTGTATTCATCTGCGGGGTCGCCCAACAATATTAATTTTTTTCTCATTTCTTTTCAATAAAATTTGGTGATAATGTAATCGTTTCATTCTTGATGTAAGACTACCTCATTGCTATAAAATCAAGTTGAAGAAATTATTTTTTCTGGGTGTAACACTTCTAATAACTGAGTATATTCATTACCAAACCTGTTATTTCAGAGAAACTAACATTGTCTAAGTTGGCTTTGGTAAAGGCAGCCTATCACATGTTTGTCAGATTATATCACCAATGCTTCAATTTCTGGAAAGCGTGTATAAAAGACTTTCAGATAATTTGCCCATTTATCGACTATAACAAGCGTTATTTTAACATGATGGGGTCGCTCTACTTGACGCCCCAGCCGTAAATTAATGGTTTTTGAATGAAAGATGTGTACATCAGGTTAGATATGAGGGATATGAAATGTATTTAGGAACTTGCGACATGTTAAACCATGCTGGTTCCTATGAGTTACATAAATAATACTGTTGTTAATGATTATGAATGAATGAATAGCTATCGCTCTCAAAAATAGCGTAATTGAAAGCTTAACGAGTTGTTATCTTTTTTTAGCAAAAAACTATAATATAAATAAATATTGGACCTAGCCACTTGATTATGGTATGTGTCCCCATCTTCGATAACTCTTGTCTACCATACCACTTTTGAGCGTGTGGTTAAGCCATCGTATCAGAGGTGGTGCTCGTGACGCTATACAGTAGATTAGAATTCTATGCTAGTATACGTATATGTTTTGTGGTTCTGACACTGTATGCGAGATGGCAGCCCTAATAAATGACATACACTGACAACCATTTTGGTTAGATTTAAGTTGTCTTGTGGTTTTATGTATATGATTAAAAAAATGATATGGCGATAAAAGATATTTGATATATATCAAAAAATCCAAAGCATTTTGTTCGATTTGAAATATCTAATGTATTTTGTACAACAATTGATGAGCATTCTAGAGTGAGTGGTCTAGGATGGGTAAGTATTCCAGCGATTCTGAAAATGAGAAACGCAGCAGTAAAATCTCGAGTAAAAGCAGAAAACGGAGGTAAGCCAGACCCATTACAGCTGGATGAGCAGCTTGCACATGTGTTAAGTAGCAAATGCAGAATTATCAATGTTCGTAGATCATCATCGTCAAGTTCCAACGATTCTAGACATAGACGGAGAAAAGACAAAAAAAGTAGTCTGAGGTCTAGGAGTAAAAGCCGAGACAGATATTCTAGATCAAGGTAATGACACAAAGAACTCTCCTTTTCTAAAAGGTTTCAGCTTCATATGTGCATATTTATCTAATTCATAATCCCTCAAGGGTTGCCCACAAAACTTGAGGAATGACAAAACACTTCCATTTGCTTTAGATGACTAATCATATATGTACATAATATTGTGGCTTTGTATCTATTGGTATTTACCTTGTTGTAAGGCATCAAACTTATACTCCACAGTATTATAACTGTTTGGCTTGAAAGATGCTGTCTTCAATTTTGATAAACAAGTAGTTTGACTGTACAGATTCATTAAATAGCATAATCATATTAGCAAAAATCCCTAAAATAATTGAAATATTTGTTTTTTTTATGCAAGTTTTTCAGAGTACTCATACTCTGTTAATGTCAATACATGCAATATTTCCAGATGTCAACAAATCCCAAAACAACACAATTTTTAATAAATACCATGACCAAACTCACAGGACATTCAATGCAATACAATTAAAATAACATCTCTAGTACTTCAAATGGAAACCACATAAACTTTTCTATAGAATAAAATGTGATATCAATAATAATGTCTCTCATTTTTGTTTTACATACATTAACTGGTAGCATTGTAAGACTTTCTTTTCACAGTTAAATCTTTGAAGAGTTGCTTACAATCCATTAAACCTAGGCATCCTCAAACCCTAATCATCTACCTATAAAGACCAAAAACGCTTTGTGCTTTGGCTGAGTGACCTCAGAGAAAAACAGCATATTGAATAATATACTATTTTATTTTAATTTAGTCAATTATTTTTTTTCTTTGCTTATTTACATCTGTCCTTTTCCTGTTAACTTTCATATCCACAAAGCAATTTGAATAAAAGTACAGTATGAAGTTTTGCATACTATATCTATGTGAGGTCTCCACTGTAGCTTAGGATTCAAATATACCCCTAATAATCACACCTCAATATTTGGCTTCTCCGCATCCCCAGTATCCTGCAGCAAAACCACCAGCTGTTTGGTCTTAGCCTTATTTAATAGTAATCTACTAGTGCGGAACTTCCATTCAGCTCTCGATTGTACACACATGGATCCCTCCGTGAACAAAAAACTCTTTAAATCAGATTTTTAGATACTTAAGAGACCTCCACATAAAAAGATCCAAGGAAAACAACCTAATCAAAATGCAGATCTAGGGACTTGTTGGTAATGCGACAATAGTATCATGAATTGAACTACAATTCAATTAAAAAAACAGAAATATATCATCTATGACAAACTGACCATCCTAAAATTAGTCATGGTGCACATAAATGAACTCATTATCTGGGATTAGAAAATGTTTGTGATTATAATCCTTTTTTCCCTTATACCTGGAAACTAAAATATCTAGTTTCAAACATAGTTAATTCCTAAAGCGAGCAGGAAAAAAAATACTGATAACAGCAAGAAAAAATTCTGACTAGTCTAAATGTCACTAGGGTGTGATATAATGTCAGACATAGTAGCCATACCAATAAGATCTTTCTAGTGTAGCAGCAAGAGCTGAGGTGCATCCTAAAAATTTCCTCTAGAGAGACTTGCAGAGGAAAATTTAAAGGTAATAAAATTTTAACTGAAGCTGCAATATATATTCAAGGAATACTAATTTTTATATTTAAAAATATTGACAACTTCATCAGTCACCCATGAAGTGATTATAACACAAGAAATAGAAATATAAATTTTCTGAATCCAGTCCATCATCTCACAGTTACTGAAAAAGATGACCATTGCAGCTGCACTAAAATATATAATCAGTTACCACAAGAAATTGGTTGGATATTAAAGAATATAAAAAGAGTGTTCATCAATTGTTAATGCACTTGATGAACCATATCACCTTTAAGAATATTTTGAAATTTGAAATCTGTATATATAATCAAATCCAAGTGAATAACCAAAATTTCTGTGTTATATACCGCGGGTATAATATAGTTTAAGATGGCACACGAGTTGATGCCGTCAGTTACTCGAATCGCTTAAACGCGTTGGTTTTAACCGCGGTTTTGTTGCAAGTTGTTTATTTTAGAAAAGCGAGTATATAATTTCTGACTATTTTTATTATCACTTATTAATCGGTGCTTTTTCGTCTACAACGGTGGTATGTAAAGTTTAAAAAAGAAACCTTTCATAATTTTAATGGAAGAAATGTTTTTTTCCAGAAGATATTGTTCAGGTGTTAAATCACTTGAGAAAATCTCTCATTTTTAAACAAGTTTGTCGTGAAAATAAAAGATATGACGCCCAAAATTTTAATGGTGGAACCATGGCTTTGTAGCTATGATAACTATGAATTCTTTAAACTTTTCCGCATGTCAAATAAAACATTTATTGATTTAGCAGAAATGATAGAAAAAAGCAATGAAAAAAGATAGAAAAACCATAGCCATTGAGTTTATATGGCCATATTTTCATATTCTTGTGGTATCTATAGGTACAGAGGATACAATACTTTGATAAGCATAGGAACTAGATTTAAAGTGTCCCCAACAACAGTAATGAGTATAACTAACAAGGTGCTCTTTATGCTACAACTGAAGTCAGCCTGTATCAAGTTTCCCAAAAATTAAGCAACAAAAGTATCCAATACCCGCCAAAATTCTAAGTTGTCACATTTCAAATAATAACCAGAAATATAAAACTACTCCTGAGTTGGGTAAATACTACAATTTTGCGGTGATAACTATGACATATAACAGCTGATTCATGACGTCACGGATCTTATAACCAAACTGATAACCCCACTCGCTTGAACGGATCGGTAAATAAGAATCCAAAATGGTAAATACCATCTTCATTTGGTTTTTCGCTTGAATTTGATTCAGTGTGTAATACACAGCAATGATGCACTGTTGCTTTGAAATAAAGATCTATTATCATTATTAATACAAAAACCAGGGATGGGTACATTCCGCGTCTTTTTTTTCACCCCTAATTCCGTTGTACTGATCTTTGCATTTTTTCTACCCTTGGCATAATAGTAATGAAGTATCAAAATTGCATGGAAATCTGAGTAGTTTCAACTATGTTATGAGGAGTGAAGGATTATTTGTTAAATGACAGGCAGACTGACAGAAACTGGTTGATTTGGGTTTGCCTTTTCGTGATGTTCATTATTGGAACAATAAAATAAGATATATGCTATTCCAAATAGTAATAAAAGTAATACTAATACTTTCTTTGCAATTTATGGTACAATTTCTTTCCTAGGAGATCTAGAAGCAGAGAAAGCTCCTTAACACATCATTCCTCAAAGGCTAAGCACTTCTCCTCTAGCTCAAAGGATTCTCATAGAGATAAAGATAGGTATAGAAGGTCAAATTCCAGAGAAGCTAGGCACAGGAGATCAGATTCCAGAGAAGATAGGCGTAGAAGATCAGATTCCAGAGATAGACACCGGTCACGACGTTCCAGGTCCAAGTCGTATATAAGGGAATATGTGACCAAACCAAAAAGGAGATCCAGCGAGAGTTCTAGCAGCAGTGAAAGGAGCACAAAGGCAAAAACCAAAGCTTCAGTTAGCAGGAACAAGACTTCTAATACTGCTGATAATGTGCAAAAGAAAGAGGATACAAAAGAACCTAGAAGATCACCCAGTGTAACTATAATCGACACCAAAGTGTTGGACGAGATCAATGACGATATTTTCACTCCAAAGAACTTTAGTTCAAGTAAAAAGGTGCCAGATAATATCCTTATTGACTTAACCAAGAACACTATAAAAGTTCCTGAGGTGGAACCATCCGAACCCGATAGCATTTTCCATCACAATGTAAGTTTGATTCAGTTAATATTAAATGCTGATATTTGCTTACTAGAGGTATTACTGGCAATTGGTAGATTATATGGACAATGCTTCAGTATTTTTCTAAACCATCCTGCATTTGTCACTCATAATACATTTTTTAAGTTTTAGTTTTTTTAGGTACCTGTAAAGTACGTCAATAGCATTACATGGGGTAATACCAATATACTTTTGACACGATTTTCAATTAAAGAAATTGTTCCACTTAAAACCTACATTTGATACCAATATATTTCAGTCTTACACACAGTATTTTTTTCAGTTATTCCAAACTGAAGAAGTCCGCATGGAAAAATGGGTGAAAGAACTATTTTACTTCAGACAAAAAGCTCTGCAACAAGGTTCAAAAAAATGACCAATGCATTCATCAGTGTTAAATGGACAATGATTTTAATGCTGCTGCCTGTTATGTTATCTCTTTATAAATGTATGCAAAAAACAGTGTTGGACCTCTGTGAATTAGACTCTTGCCCACTTTGCTATGGTACTAATATGTGTAGTGAAATACAAGCTGGTAATGTTACCTTGCAGTACAACACTTTGAAAAGTGCATTTTATAACATTTTCAGTGTAAAAAATGTATATTTTGCTAAATGTGGTGGGAAAAACTGTATATTGAAAAAGCTAGTACATAGACATGAGTTTTTGGAAATCGGAAGTCATGGTGATACAGAGATGGAGTTGGTGAAGTACCTGATGAGCGTCTCAGATATAAAAAAATTCAAAATTTGCAATCAACACACAGCCGAGGAATTTTTGAAGCAGTTGAAATATGATGACATTAGACACATTGACATACTCTTACAACTAAATGTTGAACCTCTACTGCTCCAGATATTCAATAAAGAAAATGACTGGCCAATACCAAAATTCTATGGCTCTTGTGGAAGACTCGCTATCATGGAGTATGCTGGAAAAGATCTGAACACAATTGAACATGCTGACTGGTTTAAGAGGGCGTATGTTGCACATAAAATACTAGAAGCTGCTATCAATTTCACACTAAATCACCCTGTATTTAGGTTGTATCTGACTGATATCTCGCCTGATAATATAGTAGTCGATGATCAACTGAGAATTAGTTTTGTAGACTTGGAACATGGAATTTTGAATTCCAAATTGCAAGGAAAAAAGAATCTGCACGCATCGGATCATTATCTAGACGAGAACTACGCTTTTTCAGAATCTGAGATTTGCCATAGTGACATTAGCGATCATAACATTTACTCAGTGTGCAAGGTGAGTTATAGGTATTTTAAGAAGTATAAATCGGTCCTTTTTACCGTTCAAATTCTTAAAATATCGTACAATAGGGACAATTTAACACGTTCACGTCGTTGTGTATCACATGTGGTACATGACTGCTGATCTCCACAGCCGTGGTGTACCACATGTGGTACACAGTGCGCTTTATATTTAATCCTATTTTAAAACGTAACGGCTGCATAAGAAGCTTGGGAAAGAAGTTACGGCTGTACATAAAGGTGGTACATTCGATCCGTCCGATCATATTTGTATATCATGTAATTATTTTTGACTAACTACTAAATAAACTGGATTTTAGGAATATTTTCGTTATAATTTTATCCAAGCAACCTTATTTTGTTGCAGGGTACAAAAAAACAGCTAAAACCTAACTTATAAAAACCTCTCAAAACTTAAAAAAGTCAAAGCTTCTTCCTAGCTCTCGAAATTAAAAAAAAATGCAAATTTAAAATTATTAGGCAACTAGGGTTCCGGTATGTTTTTCGTTAAAACAGTCCAAACACATTGGCGGTTTATTGTCACAGTCATCGCAGTAAGTCAGCACTCTCTTAGGCCCGTATCGTCAGTCGACCCTACAATTGTAGGGCGCGTTTATGGCCTCCTTGATTGTCATACTCCTTTCTCTCCTTCAAATATTTCTAGATTACACTTGTCCCGTGTCAGCGTCAGCGCTCTTCAATTGTGAAGATATGTTTTATTTTTAAATTGTAGGAAATTTCAGGCTGATAAAACATGATATAACTCAAAAGCAAGCACAATTTGATGCAAATGGATGTTTGTGACATAACCTCAAAATAGTGTTCTGACACGGAGAAGTAGAAAACTATGACAATCAAGGAGGCCATAAAGGCGCCCTACAATTGTAGGGACGACTGACGATACGGGCCTTAGTTTTGGCTCTTGCTTCTTTTGACCTTCTTTCTCTTTGTAATTTGTCATGAGTTGAAGTACACCGTCTTCTATTGTTTCTAGCATTACGTTCAATTTCCATTTTTTATGTATAGATTTTTTATTTGTGATCAATATTTATTTATATACATATGTTTTGTTTTTTCTCTTATTTTTTATTGTTTTTAGATCACAAATACAAAAATATTCACATGTTACACAAAAAAATGTTACGGCTGTGCTTTAACTCATCGAAAATCGGCTAACGTCGCGAACGTGTTTTAATAATACAAAATCAAATAAAAACGGTACCAGCTTGTCAGAAAGTCCGTGATTCACAATTTAGAACAAGAAATCAACCTTTTTTTTGCGTAATAGGTATAACTTGTTCCATCTCCCGTAAATGTTTAATGAAATGATGAATTAATGTCTTTACTAACATTTCGCCTGTCACTGAACAGTTTTTTCAAAGTAGGAAATATAAATGTTCTGAAATATTTTAATGTTGCAATCATAGATTTTGCACTTTGACGAGCGCTACTCTAGTAGCCGAACCATCACTAAACATGATCATCTGCGGTTTCTATATCAGACAAAGGAGCTAAATTTGCTTCATATTATTCATTTCGTATTTTTTTTTAGCTTCTGTTGTCTCAGTTCGCACTATGGCCTATGATGAACAAGGGACTGCTACATGATCCTCCGGAGCACGTTAAAAAAGAATACAGTAACCTTTTTATTGATATCGAGGACTGTTTACATTCCAAAGAGGGCAAGGATAGATTTCTCATCGCCGATCATATTTTAGACAATCTTTCATTGTTGTTGAAAAATAATGTTTTCTAAATAATTTCAGATTAATAAAAATGAGTGTTATATATTATGTGTAATTCTTGAGTATTGCATTTTTCCCTTGTTAAGCAAAAAGCATACTCTTTGTAATATCCTTCTGACAATAATTGCCAATTTTTAGTTGAACCATTTATTTGTTCATCCCAGAATCTGCAAATATTTATTTTGCGATGGGTCTCAAAAGATACGGAAAGAAACGTTACTTTGCCTCTTATAAAGAGAAAAATAAGTTTTTTTCAGAACGAAGCAGCCGCGCAAGCAGAAACCTAAATGACAGGACACCGCTGCTGCTATGAGGATCCTAAAGAAACATTGTTAATTCCTCTTGTAGATTGTTCCACAATCTCGAAACGCTCGGGACAAAGGAGCGGTCGTATCGGCCAGTTCTGGATGTACGAAGTTCGACACGGTTAGGATGGAACGCCAAAGTCAGGCAGGTCTGTCTGGCAGGTACATCGCGCGGCAGCACCATGGAAAATGTAGCCGGGGCGGCAGCACCCCAGACGTGTGAGCAATACTCGAGCCTAGGCCTTGTATAGACTGAGAAGGTCATGCGGTACTTCTGGGACGTAAACAAATAGCCTAGCTTTTTCCCAGCAGCTGCAGCTATTGACGAGATGTGTTCGTGCCAGATCAGGTCCTCGTTGATCTGGACTCGACCAGCCGAAATGAATGGCGCTTTGGCAGAACTCGGCCGTCCATCGAAACTGGATTAGCGCTAGGACGCTGTTTGTTCGACAAAGTACAGTACTGTGTTTTGGAAGCATTGCTCTGTACAAGATTGTTGCGTCTCCAAGCAGTGATAGCCTGCAGGTCGCTTGTCGGAGAGGAAGTCGTCGCTAGTCTTTTTTCCAGCTCGGCGGCAGAGATCGGCTTGTCACTCTGAATTCCTGGATGTAGAGTGCTGTCATCAGCGAAGCTGTGGATTGGGTTGATCGTGCAGGAAAGGAGGTCGTTGATATGTAAGAGAAACAGTGTTGGAGCCAAGACCGATCCCAGGGGAACACCCGCGTTGACGTTGTGGGATGAAGAGGAGAACCCGTCAATTACGACGGATATCTTGCGGCCAGAGATGAAGTCAGTCACCCACCTGCAAAGCTTTTCTGGGAGGCCATAGGATGGAAGTTTGCTTAAGAGGGCAGCGTGCCACAGCTGATCGAACGCTTTCGTGATGTCAAGAGCAACGACATGAGCCTCAGCATATGACTGGATGAGTTTACTCCACAATTGCGTGATTTAAGCTAGGAGGTCCCCTGTGGATCGTTGGTGCCGGAAACCATACCGCCTGTCGCTAATCAAGCTGTGACGTTCGAGGTAGTCCAGAAGCTCGCGATTTATGCACCTCTCCATCACCTTACTTATAACAGAAAGCAGAGCTATAGGCCTGTAGTTGTAAGGGTCGGTCTTAGATCCTTTTTTTTTTAGGATGGGTTGGACCTGAGCAAATTTCCAGTTTTCTAGCAAGGTGCAGGATTCATAAGATATCTGGAAGAGACGCGAAAGAACTGGAGCAAGCTCCGCTGCACACCTCTTCAGTACAACGGCAGGAATCAAGTCCGGACCAGAAGCTTTGTTGATGTCGAGCACAAGAGCACAGGTCTTATGCCTGAATGTTACCGCCCGCATAGTGTAGGAAACCCTTTGAATTGACGGCACTTGGGCGTTGTGGGGGACGTCCATGGTGGAGTTGGCAGCAAAGATATTGGCTAGCACTTCCGCCTTGGCCTTTGAGTCAAATACAATAGTTCCATCCTGACACGTAAGTGGTGGAAAGCTACTGTGTGAGAAATTCTTTTCAATCTGCTTGGCTAGCGTCTAGAAAGACCGACTGCCATTGCGCTGCGACATTACCCTGTGACTAACTTTTATATCGTGCTGGTTTTTGGCATTGCGAACCGCTTCGTTATATTTGTTTCTGAACTCGACGCCGGCTTGTTTGTTCTCTACAGTGGGCTTTTGTAAGAAGGTTCTGTGTGCCTTGATCTTCTGCTGGCGAGCAGTGTCACACGATTTGTTAAACCAGCCGTTGGACCCTGGTTTAGGCACTTTCGCTGTGTGAGGGATGTATTCCGACGTGGATAATTTCTTTTATCGAAGAACAGACAGCCGACGCATCCGCGTCAGTGAAACAGGAAAGCTAGAGAAGAAGTCTCTGAGCCCCTCCCAGTCGGCATGTCCGTAATGTCAAGTTTTGCTGCCTGTACGAGTTTCTGCTGCCACAGCGGGTTCTGACCGAAACCTAACCTCCACAACACCGTGGTCTGAGTTACCCAGGGGGGACAGGTACAGCAGTGCTGTAAGGGACAGGATGCGAGGTCAGAAAGTGATCCAGCAGGCTACTGGCGTGTGACGAGACGCGGGGGACAAAAGTGGGTCAGCCCTTGAGTAAGAGCGAACGCTTCGACTACACGACCTGCTGCATCGGTCTTGTTTGAGCTCAACCAAAGCTCATTATGGGTATTGAAATCTCCTAGAAAAACTACTTCTGAAGCGGGGTGATTGATGTTCAGAAAGTCGATCTGGACGGCGAGGTATTCGAGTAGGTGATCCCAGTTATGGTCCGAGGGAGAGCGATAATGGCAGCAAATAAATTTGGGTGATGTTTTGGAGTTGAGGCGAAGCCACAGAATGTCCTTCCGGTCTGATTCCAAAGAAACATCTCTGGAGCAGGAAATACTACTGCAGACAAAAGCCACAACTCCCCCGTTCTTTCTCAGCTGGACTGCACCTCGTAGTTTGGGAAGTTGAGATGGTTAATCGGTGCAGACTCTGAGATTTTTGTTTCTGCCAAGAAAAACACGGCGGGACGATTAGATTGCAGGTACCGATGAACAGCATTAATGTTGCTGTTAATCCCGCAGATGTTCGAAAAACAAATTTTATCTTCGATGTGGTTCCCTCGAGCCCTCCCTCCACCCGGACATTCCGAAACTGGAGTGAGTTTACGTCCGGAGTTTTTAGTGCTCGAGGGATCCATCATCAATTTCATTATTTTGGAAGATAACCGACTGCATAGCTTAGGTGCAAGACATTTATGAGACACGCTGGGAAAAGCTAGCGGGTGGTACCGCCTCGGTCGACTGGTCCTTGTCTACCACCTTCTTTTTACGTGTTAGTGATGTTAAATAGACCTAAAGTGTGCCCGTTGGCGGACTTGTACCGCCACCCGGCAATCGGTACTTAGGTATTATTTAACGCTTATATAATCACTTGAACGGGAAGAAGTTGTATACTGGATACAACAACTTCCGGAACAAGCATTTGCCACGGCTCTGCTCAATAATGGCACGAGGCCTTTATAACCTCTTGATTTTCACAGTTTCCTACTATTCTGTGTCAGCGTTCTATTTTGAGGTTATGTCATAGATATCTATTTGCGTCAAATTATTCATGCTTTTGATTTATATCATCTGTTTTAACATCCTTAAATTTCCTACAATTCAAAAAGAAAACATAACTTTACAATAGGCGAGCGCCGACGCTGACACGGAACAGTAGAAATCTAAAAATACCCCATCCTTTCTGAATGAGAGAAGATACTATAAAAATCAAGGAGGCCATAAAGGCGTCAGGCGTAGGAACAACTGACAAAACGACCCTTACATCCTTTTTGGGATGGGTTTGAAATAAGCAAAGTTTCGTTTTCTGTGCAAAATGCCGCATTTGTAAGATATCTGGAAAAGGCACGAAAGAACTGGAGCAAGCTCCGCTGCTCATCTCTTCAGTACAATGGCAGGAATCAAGTCCGGGCTGGAAGCTTTGTTAATGTCAAGCAACGATCAGCACCCGAGTTGAGAGCAAAGATATTGCCAAGCACTTTCCGCCTTAGCCTTTGAGTTGGTTACAGTCGTTCTATCCTGTCACGTAAGTGGTGGAAGGCTACTATGTAAGAAGTTCCTTTCAATCTGCTTGGCCTGTGCCTGATTTTTACATAGTGCTGGTCTATGACATTGCAGACCGCTTCGGTATATTTGTTTCTGAACTCATTGTCGGCTCATCTGTTGTCTACAGTGTGGTTTTGTAAGAAGATTCTATGTGCCTTGATTTTCTGCTGACGAGCAGTGTCACACGATTTGTTGAACCAGCCGTTGAACCTCGACTTAGGCACTTTAACTGTATGAGGAATGTATTCATCCATCCCAACGTGGATAATTTCGGTTACCGATGACCAAATATCGAACGCTGCCTCAGCCGGTTCTGACCGAAACCTGACTTCCACAACACCGTGGTGTTTTTGGCGATTTTCCTTGATAGACCCATGTCCATTTTTGTCAATTTTTTGAATTACGATGTTTCGAAAATAGTGAAAAATAAGCGGTTTGTCCCGTTGGAAAAGTAAAAATTTACTTTCTTCGGGAAAGTACACTTATGCAATTTACAAGCTTTCTAATGGGGTTCACAACCCACTCTACACTATTTTCTCTCTAGAAATCGAGTGTAACTTATCTCAGATAAACACGAAAAAAACTCCGCCAAATCCCGGACAAAAACTAAAACGTAGCCATACAATCCTCTATTTTGGAATAGAGACCAGAAATATTTTTTACGTTATGTTGACCTCTTGCAATTTCAAAAAAGTCGGATACCCCTTCATTTTTTTGTCTATTCACATCCCCTCACCTATGGGCCCCATCCTTAATCAATGGTTCTATACACTGGAAACCAAATTTGTCTGAAGGCTTGACTTCAATGTGTACAAGAGAGATGTGTACATATACAGATATGCTGGAAAGAGATAGAAGCCGGCTGGATAGCGTAGCTCGCCACCCCGTTGCCTATTTTGGTCAGTACCCACCTAGCGCTCATTAGGGAGTGTCGTTTTGCTTTGAAATTGTTTTCACCGGCGTACACGTAGGCAGTGATAATATATTGTATTGCTGGTATTGCGTAGTGGTATTTGTTACATTTTCAGACCGCTCGCTGTCGCAAAAAGTAACAAAAACTCAGGATATGTTGATTTAATCGCTATCGGTGGAAATCAAAGATAATTAATTCTAAAGTAAATTAAAACACTTCACTTCACATCAAAATTGAAATAAACAATTCCGATCAAAATGAAAAGAAAATATTAAATTAAATGTTCGAACAGACCTTCTTGGGTTTGACATTAACCTAAGCTATTGTAGAAGCCAGTGCGAACATTTTCTGGTGTAACATATTATAAACGCGGCAGATTCATTCTGCGTTGCTAGGCAATGTGGTGATGACCTTCGATCTTCAGCCGGCCTACTACCTCTTTCTAAGATGTTTTGATGTACACTTCTCGCGCTTCTCTCTCGTACACGGTGAACTCGAGCCTTCAGTCAGTCAAATTTTGTTTTCCCTGTATATGCTACTTACTGCATTATCAAATAGAACTTTTCACTGCAATGGCAGGAATCAACTGTCTAATTTGACTGACTTTTTGCCTAGAGTCAACGGTATATTTAGCGGCCAGAAGAATATGAAGATTTATCAGCATTAAAACCACAGTACAAGTACCAGATATTAGAAGAGTTACACATGTTCCATGAACCATAAAAGTACAGTTTTTGTTAACTAATAATTTTCTTTTAATTATCGTCGGAAGTAGTAATAAAATTATTGGATGTTGATTGAAGATTTTGTATGATGCGTAATCAACTTCTTTCTTACTTTTTCTGATTGCCCAGATTAACAAAATAGCAAACTTTTTGACATATTTTCACAAAAACCAGTCCAACGGTTTCCTTGACCAAATAAATATGAAATAGAGCGATGGTCTATGGTTTACAATAATAGAGTGTGCTGATTGTCATGAAACTTGTAGGTTATTAATTTATTCGGTTCGTGTTGCGTATAAAATCACAAAACGTGTCGTCCACCAACTGCGTCTGTAAGAAGTTGCATAATCTTGGGGTATAATCAAATTAAGTGAGTAGGAGAGAGTGAAAGCCTTAATAACATTACTGAAACCTTATGAGTATAATATATAATGAGGCAGTCGTTAGTAAAATGCTGCTTCGACCTTTTGGAATAGGTAAAATACATATCTGAACATACGAAGTACTCAAGATGGTTTTCAACTTTCGTGTGTTCAAGAAGCAGTCCCCAAATGGGAAACTTACTATGTACCTGGGGAAGCGAGACTTCGTGGACCATATTTCTGGAGTAGAGCCGATTGGTGAGTACTTTTTTAGCACACATATGTTAAACCTTATAAAAATAGATTCTCCGGGAAAAACAAAAAAAAATAGGTTTATAAATCCGGTTTTAAGCAATTAGGTGTTATAGCAATTGTTAAGTGCGTGTGATATCAGGTTGGAGCTAGATCAATCTGTAAAATATTTTATTTTAGGGAACTATCAACAATCTATTTTTGAGTTGTTCCAGATGTGTACTTTGGGCACAATTTAAAAATGTTAATTATTATACATGGTGTCTAAAAATACTGATATACATGCAAAGTTGTATTTTTCAACTGGATGCCCTGCATACTATAGCAAATCAGGATAGAATTATTTACCTTTTTGGAGGGCTTTCATGAGTTTTAAAAAACAGATCTCTTGAAAATACGGACTATGAAACTGTTTTGTCACAACAGCGAATTCTATATATTCCAAAATAACCAAGTTGACTGTACTTCCCACGCTACGCTGTCATCAGTTCGTAAAAGATTAGGTTTGGCACGTTAGCCCTTTTCAGCAAAGTACTTGCTACGAGCATGTATAACAAAAAATTAAATGACCTGCCTCTTCCCCCTGAGAGTTTTTTTTGTATAGTTTTGGCCACCACTCTTTAAAGTTGATATCTTCTGTTTTTACTTCTTTAACTGTATCTAAATTTATTCGACTTGCTGCTCATTACAATCAGTTCGGTTAGTTGATGAACCGTGGAGATTCTGTCATGTTTTTTTAGTTTTCTCTTCACAATATTATGTATACATAACACCGAAATGGTCAGTTGCTGGTAATAAAAAACATCACCTACAGGTATTTTTGGCAGCTAAAGATTTTGCATAAAGTCGAAAGCTAAAGCTAGAATATTTTTTGAATCACAAGGTTCATTAGACACGCTTTTCAGTTTTGCATAAAATTTTTTAGTTCGCCGTTTAAGGACTAGCAGCTCGGCAACTGCTGCTCGTTTGGCAGTATCATTTAAGTGCGTGTTTTTTATTTTGTTGCTTAAAGTCTCACATGTTGCACACATATCAACTTGAGGGCGTCCGAATCTCAAAGAAAAATTTTCTCGGAAATACTTTGTGTAATATGGGTAGCTGACTTTCAATGTGGGGTATTTTCCCTTAAATAAGTCGTACATAATCTTTAAATTTAGCACACTAATTAAGTACTTAACTTCTCGATTTGCTTAATGGCTTAATTTAACGGGAAACGACTGAATGTGTCCTTGAACAGCAAACTGAACTTCTTCGCCGAGTTTATTACCACTTGGATTTTTTCCACGTAAGTCTCGAGGGGATTTTCCTAGGACGGCAAGATCTTTAAGTCTTCTAACTCGACCCAAAGTTATACCATAGACTGAGATAAATGCTTTCAAACAAGCTTCAATCTTGTCTGAACCTTCGAATGTGTAGTATTTAAAGGCATTGGATTTTGCTTTAGTTCCTACCTCAACCCTAGCGCGCCGCCGCTGTATACTTCGAACCTCTATCAGTCCTTGCAGAAATATGCCCTGTTGATCCTTAGATTCAAGAGAAATAAAGCGCACCATATTTGATTGCAGTTCTTCGTTGGAGATTTCTTTAAAACATTTTGCTCGACAGCTAAAAGATTAGAAAACATTTTCAGAAGTCAAGCAGAAATAAAAAGCCGTTCTAAAGTTACCTGCAAGCGGAGCGAAGTATTTTGCCAGGAATATTATTACCCTTGTAGTTTTTATAAGGTTTGCCTTTTACACGTGCCTTTTTAATAATGCTTCTTTGGTAGCAATCAGGATTTGCCCTCTTCTTTCGATGGGAAGAACTTTCGTTTTCAGTGGAATCCATCGCGTACTGGTAAACACTACAGCGGACTACAAAACAACTACTGACGAGATCAGCAAAAAATAAAATAAGCAAACTCTATTTTTTACCAAAATAAGGTTCTCTCACATGTTTTGATGCAAGCGATTAGACAAGGAGAAAATTATTTGCGGTAGATGCCATGACCAAGAAGACCGCTACCGATATAATTTGTTCCGCAGAAACAGCACATGTCCTGGATATGTGCTGTTTCTGCAGACTATTGTCCAAGCTACACATCGTTTAATTGCTGCAGGCGCACATGATCGTTGCGATGACCAGTCCCGCTTGAATGACGATATTTACCTTCACCTTGCTCAGTGCACACAGCGCAGTCCAGAGCCGTGCAAGAGCGATTGCCGACTGTGACGTACGACCACCGACGACGAAGCTTTTCATCCCGGGGACCACGTCGCACCTATCGACCCTCGACTCTGGCAGATATATCTAAGTTTTAAGGGTTAATGTAAGTGGGGCATATGTGCTGCTTAATATGTGCGTAGAATTACTGATGTTGAAGGCTTATAAATGTACCAGCGTCAAAAATTGAGACATACTCTCCCCCACCTCCTACAACCCCTAACGTCCAATTTTTAATCCCGTCAAGAAATTGTCAAAAAATGGTCAGGATCGTCTGAAATGTCAAAAATGAAGTGTGAGCGAGATTTATTTTTTTGCCCTTTTCTTCGTCGAAACTGGAACGGTTTTCAAAAACTACAAAACTTTTGTGTCCTTTACATAGTGGTAATATCTACGTATTGTTTAAGAATTTTATCGAAATCCGATCGGTACTTCTCAAGTTATAGGCGGTTATAATTTAAGACAGACCGACGAAAATGAGTGACATGGTTTTTCGTGATGTACATGTCATATAATATCCAAAAGACATACTTCATTTTCGAAATTTTCTCGATTACAATATAGTTCCCCGCCAGTCGACGTCGAAGAAAAAATACAAACCTGATTTTGTCGAAAGGGCTAATCTTTATGTGACACCTGTGAAATTTTCGCGAAAATCGCACCATAAACAGCAAAGATACTACGGAAAGTGAGGTTACTTTTGCATTTGTTTCCAAAACGGACAAAAACGAATTTCCTGTGTTGATAAAACATTGTTATTTAATTAGGAAGAACACCGACGAAGCTCAGCAATGGCTTGAAAAGTTTTATCCGAAGTCTGCTCCGTCGAAAACAACGATTTGCCGGTGGCATGCTGATTTTAAACGCAGTCGCACTGATACAAAGGATGCGGACGCTCGGGTAGACCAAATGAAGCAGTAACTTCGGAAAATGTTAAGCAAATCGTGATGAATGACCGCAAACTGAAAGTTCGTGAGTTTGCTAAGATAGTACAAATATCAACCGAAAGTACATTTAACATCTTACACGAAAAGTTGAGTATGAAAAAGTCTTTTCGAAATCGGTGCCGCGTTTTCTTACAATGGAACAAAAGCAACAACGAGATGACAACTCCGAGAGCTGTTTGTCACTGTTCACCCGCAATAAACAGGATTTTTTCGTCGGCATGTGACAGTAGACAAAAATGGATCCACCATTTTACTCCGGAATCAAATCAGCAGTCAGCTGAGTGGCGTGCAGCTGGTGAAAGCCGTCCGAAGCGTCAAAAAATTCAGCAGTCAGCTGGCAAAGTCATGGCGTCATTTTTTTGGGGTATAATTACATACACTACCTTGAAAAAGGAAAAAGTATCAACAGCGACTATTACATTGAGTTACTGATGCGTTTAAAGGACGAAATCGAAAAAAACGACCGCACATGAAGAAGAAAAAAATCATCTTTCATCAGGACAACGGTACCGTGTCATAAGTCAATAAAAACAATGGCCAACTTGAACGAGTTCGGCTTCAGCCTGCTTCCCCATCGACCGTACTCTCTAGATCTAGCCCCCAGCGACTACTGACTCTTGCACTTTAGATCCTAGTTAATATAATTATAGTTAATCCAATAATTGGATGAGTATTTGAAAGTCCCTGATAGTTAACAACTGTTCGTTTCAAGGGAGCAGATATAGAATTCAGTATCCTGGTTTTTTTAATCTTTACCTTTCATAAAAGTGTAGATCCCCCTCTCCCCGACAGGTGTTCTTTCGCTAACGATTTCGTTACGCACATATGTACCTATTTAATTTTGTGTAGAATGTCGCATACAGTACTTTTCAAAACGGCTACCTTCCTTATTTTCAACGCATGAAGTTCGGGAGCTGGACTTCGGAATGAGCAAATGATGCATATTTTAAGTGACAGCTGAAAATTTGAAGATGGCGGCTGCGGTCACAAGATATCATTTTGAAACTACTTATACAGGGTGACTTCGAAGTTGAGTCATTTATTTTAACAGTGAGTAGATCTGATCAAAAGAAATGTTTTTTCCTTTACCATTTTTCTGGTAAAATTAAAGTAACAAAATTATAGCCCTTTGGAAGTTTGAGTACCGCCCTGTCTCAATAATAATATCATGTGCTCGTGTTTGGCAACAACGGATATAATCCGCCTTATCGGTTCATCGCATCGGAAACAAAAAATCGAAAGAATTTGGAACGATGTTTTTACAATTATTTTATTCAGTTCAGTTATACATACAGTCAGTGTCAGTCGGTAACACGTGTGAATAGTGTCTGTTGCGTGGCTCAAACGAAATAAAAAATGGCACATGTTTATGCGGATCGGTTCCCCAATCGAGTGCAACCAACCTCTCGTGCCTTTGTTAATGTAGTATAACGGGCTCGTGAATCAGGTGACTTAAGACCTCACAGGGGACCTCACGATCAAATACAGGTCCGCACTGAAATACTTGTCAGGAGGATACTTTATAAAACAAGGTAAATTTTTTTTTTATTTTTACACACATATTTTGGTTTATCTTCCTTCTACAATCATTATCTGAAAATTAATGACTCAACTTCAAAGTCGCCCTGTATATCACTATTTACAACCTTAGAGTATGATACATCTCTCAGAATAGAGGGCTATCAAAGCTAAGCGTTTATTGGATCGCTTGTAACTCAACAACTAACTATCAAAACACAATAGTCTGTAAATCTTCTTCTTTTGAAAGGATTTATCTGAATGTGCAACAAAGTATTTCCGTTTAAAAAAATGACTGGTTTTGATATATTTTGTGTACACACAGCTTGTTTTGTTCTTTTTTTGACAACGACCAATCCTTATTGGGAAAACCTTTAATAGCTTGACAAGTTATAGTCACAACTGGCATTGAAACGTTTGTGTCTATTTTAGATGGAGTAGTTGTTATCGATGATGATTACAAGGATCGCAAAGTATTCGGCCAAATAGTATGCAGTTTCCGTTATGGTCGCGAGGAAGATGAAGTGATGGGTTTGAAGTTTCAAAAAGACCTTTATTTGGCATCCGAGCAAATATTTCCTCCCCCGCAGAAACTCGCTACCACTACTAAGTTGCAGGAGCGGCTAAAAAAGAAACTGGGAGATAATTGCTATCCATTTACGTTTACTTTGCCGCCCAGTGCTCCAGCTTCAGTTACTTTACAGCCAGGTAAGCATTACACAGACAGTTCCATATCGAATATTGATAGGATAAATTCAGGACACCATACAAAAACAAAAAAAATTCCGGATGACCAACAAATACGTCTACACGTTTGTGTGGGTAAGAGATACAAAGCCTTTCAAAAGGGGGCAAAGTTGCGCATTTAATTAAAAAAATGCCACATAAATTCGAAATTCAAAGTACTTCTGAAGAGAGACGAAAAAACGCATTTTCACAAAATCGTTTTAATTTTTTTCTGACTTTATTTGTAGAGAAATTACAAAATAGATTGCTCATTAATATTGCCACCTGTTCTCCTCTACAAGATGGCATAATTAGAATTCCAATATGACGTTTCGTATCTTGTTCTTCAGCATCAACTTTATTTTGTTATGGACGCCATACCTACTTGATTTTTACGCAGGTCAACAGAGCTTTTGATTATGATTCCAAAATGTATAATACGTCATACGGTAACATTGCCAAACTTTAGTTATTCCTGAAAGAATTTTGTAGGTAGGCTTTGAAATTATCAGATTGTAATTTGTTTGGTATACCAGATTTATCCCAAAATAACTTTTGTTTCTTCCTGACTTTATTTGAGGTGGGATTTCAAAATAAATTGCATGTTGTTATCGCCAGTTTTCCTCCTCTACAAAATGGCGTAGTCAAATTTTCAATACAAGGTTCCTTCTTTCGATTTCCATCACTGGACTTTGCGTTAACACTAAAATTAATAACAATAACAATCGTAAATAAGCAGAGGTAAATCATAGATGTTCAAAACCTTATCCGTTATTTTGTTCACTGTTCGGTTCATCTTCCTTGTTCTGTCTTCCAAACTCCGTTGCTCTGTTCAGTTTGAGGTCTGGTCTTGTATGCGAAACAAATGAAATCTAATAATTTCAAAGCCTGCCTAGCGAATTCTGTTTTTCTGGAATAACTAAGCTAGGGGACAAAGGACGAAACATCATATTGGATTTCTAATTATACCATCTTGTAGAGGAGAAAAAGTGGCAATGTTAATGAGCAATTTATTTTAAATCTCACTAGACTTAAAGTCAGGAAGAAATGAAAACGGTTTTGGGAAAAAATTTTCCATCTCTCCGGAAGTACTTTAACCGATTTCGTATCTCTTACAGTTTCAGAGATCCCAATGGTGATGGTCGAGCGATACGAAGTCGATTTAATGGGGGTAACTAAGAAAATTGCACTTAGTTTCGTTTCGTAGTTCCGATTATTTCCGCAGACAGACAAAAGATACTGAATTTTCCCAGAAACTTCTTTACTTTTTCCTTGAGGCGAGATTTCAAAATGAACAGTACATTAGCATTGCCACTTTTGATCCCTTACAAGATGACATAATTTCAACATGACGTTTCATCTGGTGTCTTCTACCATCAAGTTTATTTTTTCTTATAGACGTCATATTGGATGTTTGCACAGAAGAATAGAGTTTTTAATTCTGTCTCCAAAATGTGGAATATGTCATGCATTGATATTAGCAAACCTTGGTTATGTCAAAAATAGAATTGCCAAAGTAGGCCTTGAAATTATCGAATAGTCATTTGTTTCATAATATCATCAGCCACGCATTTCTTAAATTCTTATGAGGTAGTTTAGGCGAACAGTCACTATTTCCGATTTTAATGATGTAATACTCTGTACTCGTACATATGATATGGATATGAAACTTCAAATATCTAAAAAAGTAATCTTCCTATAGTTGGTCTTAACTCATCGATAAAGAACAACCTAATATTAAAACTTTTGTATATTATTTAACGGTCATATTGAAAACACTATTACCTTATGTTAATGATGAAAATAATGTGGAGTAAATAAAAGCCTCGACGATGTAGCATCGGACTAAGGACATTTTATATCTAAACCGACATCTTGCATTCAAATACTATTAATCTACGCCTGAGGTGTCATGCAAGTTATGTACTTTGGCTCACTCTATACAACATAATTATTATATTGCATCATCTTGGCGTTATCTTGTATCCCTCTATTACCGTTGTTAGAAAACTTAGAATTATCTCATACATGTAACCTGATACGTCCTCCATGCTTCTCAAGTATTAGCTTATTTGTGTATTCCTATTATACGACTTTATAAAAACCGTTGTACCTTTTGTTTGGCAATCAGATAGCTATCAACTATTTTAGTGTTAGTTGGATTCATCAGCGGGAAATAAAAGTTATTTTTTTAAAAACCCTCGTTCGCCCCTGGCAAACATAATTGGGGGCTGAACCGTACGGTGCGTGTGTTAGAAGAAAGAGTAATTCGGTAGCGCTAAAGTTTCGAAACTGTACTTACTCCAAAGCTATTAGAAGTGTATTGAGCATCACCACTGCACCGGTCGCTATCAAGTGTTTGTGAGGGATCCGCCACTTCTGCCAGCCAAGGGGAGATAATCCAATATCCACGAACGAGAAGAGGATACCAGTGCTAAGAAGTCCACTGGCACCCGCCTGGTCAGAAGAAATAACGCCGCTTGGGACAGAGGCCAATGGCAGAACCGGAAGAACCAGGAGAAGGCCGAGAATTTGGGAAAGCCAACCCATCGAGGACGCCACCCACAGCTGAATGTTAGAAGTTCAGGACGGACCAAGAATGAAGATTATTCTTATTTTCACCCTGAGTCCCTATCTTTGTTCATTCATTTTTCTTGGTGTGAACAATTCAATTTAATATTTTATTCGTTATTGATTTATAGATTTTGACTGATATATTAGTACTATTGCTATTATTGACGTATGTATATATGTATGCATAAATTCTAGGTTTAAACTTTAATGTTGGGTGGTACAACCGGTACAGGTTACCACTAAGATTCTGATATCGATTTGCCCATAAGACATTCTGAACACGAAATGGCCGAGGTACTGAAATAATGCTTGCTTGGGATATGGTCCCCGAGTATCACAGAGGATCCAAAGATCTGCTTAATTTTATCAATAAGGAAGATATCTACCAATAAACATATGGTCATGACAAGGATTTTATCTGTTGCAAGTCAGTTATATAATTATATACGAAGTCTTTAAGTATTGATACAAAATCACCTTTCAAAAATATATACTCCAAAGGCTTTGATAAATATTGGAGATAACTGGTCATTTCAAATATTACAACTGAGTAAGCTAAGCATTGTGCACATCAATGATGACATCTTATGTATCTTGAAAATTCTAATACTTCGTAAACTCCCATTCAATCTGTATTATGTACATCCATTGCCAAATAGCGAAAATATATTAGAACCACCTTCTACATTTTATTTAAGTAATGATCTAAAAGAAGCTTGGACTACAGTTGAATTGAGCAACTATCATTTTCTAGATTTGTAAGAAAACTACTCTCAAGCAAATGAAACAAATTCCTTGTCAAAATCTAACTTTTTATCACACTGGAATAATAAGCGGATTCTCCATATTTGGCTAAATCATTGTTATTGGAGTATTTTGTCTTATATACAAATGTTGTCGAAAAGACTGGTTTATTGGAAAGGGTTCTGATCCTCCTATAATGGAAATAAATATTTCTGAAACTAAAAGAAACCGAAACGACGACATTTCGATCTAAGAGGGGAAGAGATATGTACTTTGGCTCACTCTATACAATATAATTATTATATTATATCATCTTGGCGTTATCTTGTATGCTTCTATTACCGTTGTTAGAAAACTTAGAATTATCTCATACATGCAGTGTATATGTTTTGTGAGATAGCTATCAACTAATGTAGTGGTAGTTAAGATTCATCAGCGGGAAATAAAAGTTATTTTTTAAAAACCCTCGTTCGCCTCTGGCAAACATAATTTGCAGAGCGCTCCTCCATCGTGCTGAAATAACGATTGCTATAGTCGATAAAAACTCTGTACACCTGTGCAAAAATACAAATGTGGCATCTATACGAAAAAATAAGAGTTGATGATTGAGGTTAAGAGATGAAACGACAACAATATGTCAATGAATTATAATTAGGCCACCTTGTAGAGAAGAAAAAGTGACAATGTTAATGCCCTTTATTATGAATTCTCATCTCAAATAAAGCCAGGACAAAACAAAAACGATATTGAGAAAATTTGGTTTCTTTCGTCTATATCCGGAAATACTAGCTTTGTCACCTAAATGCACAACTTTGCCCCATTTAACCGAGTTCGTATCTCTTACCGTTTCCAATATCCCAATGCTAAAATTCGAATTTGACACACCCGGTATAGTTGCCATAGGTATAGTCAAATATTACTACGAGTACAAAAACATTGCTCGTTTGTATGCTTCATTGATTACTCTACTCCTTCGTTTCCAAGAATTGTCTCCAAGGAAGAATGTTGTAGAGCTGATCACATTAAACATATGGTGGGAACAAACAGTTATTGCGTGTTTACCAGGTATTGATCTACAGGCAAAGAAGAAGAGGGCGAACCCTGTGGAGTCCACTACTTCGTAAAGGTGTTTGTGGGCGAAAATGAAACTGATCGTACGCATAAAAGAGGCATGGTGTCCATGGGGATCAGGAAGGTTCAGTATGCTCCTTCCAAACAAGGTAGGCAGCCCTGCACTGTTGTCAGAAAGGACTTCATGCTGAGCCCCGGTGAACTGGAGTTAGAAGTTACACTTGATAAACAGGTGAGAAATATACAAACAGTATATCCCATTGTTGAACATGTTACCATTATTCTATACAATTCAAATATCATAGGTACTATAAATGGCAACAATCGCTGCTAGTATTGTGGAGGATGAGGTAAAGAGGTCGTCGCACCATATTCCACACATATTTAATGAGTGGAAGCTCTGTAGATCTAGAAGGCTAAGAAGTATAGGCGGCTGCAGATAGGTGCTAGGGAGCCGAGGCTGAGAATTCGGTTACCATCTTAAGTAGCATGATTTTAAGTGCAATGTTTGCACATTATATAAAACATCTCTTGCCAATATCTAAAGACGACTTATACTCTTGCTTATGTGACAAGTGTATATAGTAATATATAATAATTCCTTCAAATCAAATCATTCTATTTTCTTTGTCACCGAGTGTATTAAGGTGGTGTCCCATTTTAATCTTCCCATCTAAATATTTCGAAAACTGCTCATTATAGAAAACAGTTTCAAACGAAAGTTGTAGGGTTTCAAGGGGGCAAAATAATGGAGGCCTTGACTACGACCTTCAAGGGTATTTCAAGATCAAGCGAGTCATTTCCAAATGACACTCCTTTTTCATATCGGAATTGGAAAGAGGGCCAAATTTTAGCCCTGACATCACCTTGATTATGACTGACTACTGTCTTCAAGGCCAGTTCAAGGTCATATCAAGACTTCGGAAACAATTTGCTCTAGTGAAAAATTTCTGAAGCGTAGTTGGGAGGTTTGTGGTATCAGCCAAATATGACCTTGACCATCATCTTCAAGGTCAAGACAAAATTTACAAACCTCTTATTTTTTTTTACTGAAAACGAAATAAGCAGGAAATTTTACGTCCGAAAGTGACCTTGACCTTAAATAACATTTAGGTTTGAAAAGACCTTGATTTTGAAGTCAAGATCACATTCGGACGTAAATTTTTGGCCTTTTTTATTTCCAGTATAAATGCCATGGTGAAGGATCACCTTCGGATTGGAGTAAATTGTTTTCGATGCAATGGTCAAGGGGATGTTTTGACGTAAAATTTGCTCTTTTTTTAAATTCCGATGTAGCAAAGGAGGGGTTCTATTTGAAAATATTCACTTGATACTGAAGGTCGCTTTCAAGGTAGATGTTAAGGTCACCATCATTTAGCCCCCTCGAACCCATACATGTTTGAATTTTTTTCTAGAATGAACAGTTTCCCAAATATTTAGGCGGGGGGTTAAAATGGGACACCTTGTATATCCAAAATTGGCTTTTTGATAATAATCTAGGGCAGCGAGTAAGGTCACGTGTGCCGTTATATGTCGCCTCAGTTTGAATGCAGGGCATTATTGTAGAGTTTATAAAATAATCGTACGTACAGTACAAATTGTTCCGAACTACTATTTTTCCAGTTATATCACCATGGCGAGAAAATAGCGGTCAACATTTGTGTAAGGAACAATAGCAATAAAGTAGTGAAAAAGATAAAAGCAATGGTACAACAAGGGGTGGATGTTGTCTTGTTTCAGAATGGGCAATACAGGACATCTGTCGCCAGCATGGAGACTCAGTAAGAACCATTATGGATATAAAATATGTTTTTAGACTCTAAGTGGATTCATGCGAGCGTATAAATCGCGTCCTTTGCGTATAGTATTGCTAGTTTTCATACTTGGGACTACCTTTGTAAACACAAAAATCGTACCATGTGAAATTTTATAATACAGTTTTATCTTCATCATTTTTGAAGCTAGTTCTCAACAATTATTCTACTTTTTCTAGGGAAGGGTGCCCGATCAATCCAGGACAAAGTTTGCAAAAAGTTGTTTATTTATTGCCACTTCTGTCGTCCAACAAAGATCGTAGGGGTATAGCTTTAGATGGGCAGCTGAAGAAGCAAGAAACTAATTTGGCATCAACGACACTGTAAGTTCAGGACAACAGTGCCCTAAAACAGCTTAACTTATGTAATATAGCTTTATTTCGTTCTTGTTCACAAGACGTACTTACTAGCATAATCATAAAAAATCTGGTTAGCTAAAAAAAATGTCGTGACTTTTGTTTGTAGTTCTATAATCTAGAAGGAATGAACTGATATTTTTTTCTAGATTGGCATCATCAGAACAGCGTGAAGCATTTGGAATCATAGTATCATATGCCATCAAAGTGAAACTTTACCTAGGAGCTCTTGGTGGAGAGTTGGCCGCAGAGTTACCATTCGTATTGATGCATCCCAAGGTAACTACGACTTGGACATCGTATCACTGTAGAAAAAAGATTATAACAACCTAGAGTGTTGGTGTTTTGAAACTAGTAAAAGACGATCTCTTGTAATTTTAACAACGCATTGAAGATGTCATTTGTTGAACTTGAAGGTTTTTCATTTTTCAATATCATCTGTATAATCATATTATGTTTATCCCATCTTTATAGCCAAGTGCAAAAAGTAAAGTGATACATGCGGACAGCCAAGCTGATGTTGAAGATTTCAGACAAGATACCGTCGACAATATGGACCATGACGGCGATGCCGAAGCTGAAGAAATTGAATAATCCTTGAAGATCATGAACATACTAAAACCTTTCCAAACATATATTTATACATGTATATGAGAAATATATTCAAATAAATATCTTATCTTCTAATGCTGTCGTTTGATAATGTTCATACAATTACCTAAAACATCTTGTTAAAATTGTATCAACAGACCAACAGTAAGGTCAGTGGTACCTCATTTTCATGTAGTTGACCCTTCCAATATTCCGCATGTGCGCTTTCAAACTTGCCGATAGTCATACAAAAGGCGATGTGAACATTGTTTTTTCAGTCAGTATCACGAGCAGAAACGTTATTGCAGCGACTTAATTAGAAAAACACGATGTATCTCACATTTGTGTAATGTCATCATCGAAAATTAATACTTTTGGCGTAATTATTGTATTCACAGAATCGGCGATTTCGATTCTTAGAATTGTACGCAAGCGTTCTATAGTGGGTGGTCTGAGAAGCAGTAGTAGCCACTAGATATAGTCGTACGCATATTTTTTCAGGGAAACTTGACACAGGACGTTGAAGTCTTTGTAACTAATGAAGGCTCACAGCTCCCAGTAGATCGAGGTGCATTATAATTCCATTCTACAAAGCTTCCAAATATGGTGCTATTCCCTCTATGTTACAAATGACAGGTTCAGTTTTTTAGCAGCGTACTACGCGTGAGCTCTCCATAAATTCAATACAGAAGTCTTGTGTTACGTGGAGAGAAACATCCGAGTTAAATAAGTATAGTATATTGAGAAATGTTCACATACTGTTTGACATACAAAGGATATTATACATTATATTTTATGAGGACAGATTGTTTTTGCAGCGTCCATAAGCTAAATTCACTAGGTCACTAACCATGATGCATTCAGAATACATAGCTAAGAAGTATTTTTCTTGGACTATTAACTGCATTATCTTGCCAAACAAACTACTTTCCTTTAACGGAAAGATGTAACAGTCTCGATTATCTTTCAATGGTTGCAGAAGTTGGTTCTGAATACTGGAAAAAATAAATAAATATATATATTATACACACTTTGCTTACTGCACCGATATAGTATCAGACATATAAAAAAGACGCATGGAACACTAATGAAGTATTCTGAATCTAATTTATATAAATAATACGAGTACTTAGGATACAGTACACAAAAACATGCATAATCATATGAACAACATAAAATGTTCAAGTTTCATTTTTCCATAAAGTTGCGACATTAAGCAGAGAAGCACATGAATAAGAAAAAGTTATTTCGCGACTTTGTCATTACAAAATTCAATCTTTTTTGGTGCAATCTGCAAGGCATGTTTCTAGAACCCATGTCCATAAACAGCTGCTCAACGAGGTGTAATGCTCACATTGAGTAAAGTTCAGGCAGCTGCAAAGAACGAGATTCTTATCCAAATTCCAAGCAATAGCACACTTTTTTATATATTTGAATGTTTTTTTATTGAAGTCGGGATTAATGTTATATGTTTAATCGATAGCTTCTCGCACAATATGTCAAAGTATCGACCGATGCAGAATATCCGGAAAGGAGCCAGAAAATTCACTAATTCTGGAAAACTAAAAACGCAAAGCTTCCATCCGAATATTTTTAAGAAAATCTACGTTTTTAAACTAGAAGTTCGGCTTTTTCCCGGGTATCCTAGACTTGTTATTGTAAAAGCATGCACTAGCAGATTTGCCCAGTCGATAGCCGTTTTTCATAACATATAAATGATATGACCTACAAAATGCAACTACATTGAAAACTTGAATACAGGTAGTGACACTTGCAACACAAAGCTGAAAACCGAAAATAAAGAATACGTTAGTTACGATACTTTTACACCATTGAAACAAAAACTTACGAATTCATTTTTATAATATAACTGGCCGGCATTCTATCATTTAATTTTTGGTTCAATGGTGCTCAGATGCGTGGAGATGCAAAGTCTAAACTGTCATTATATTTTTTAGGATATCGAGGAACACAAATTTCCTATTTACAAAAATAATTTGACTGTTAACTTTTAATCCATACATAATTCACCTAATATCTCAAAATGTATCCAAACTTGTACAAAAGTCCATATGCCGCCTTAACTTTGACTTTCTATTCAATTTCCTTTACATTAACCTATTCACATCACCGATCATATAAAGGTAAAAAAGGTTCACGCCAATTTATTTTATGTATGATATGCTAAACATACAGATCCACCCTCATATATTTTATACATACGACCGAATTTGATGCAAATTAAAGCGGTGGAGCATAATTATTTCAGATCAGAAGGTTGATTCGAGCTGACGTGGTGAGTTACTACAGCGCAGCTATTACAGAGGTGCAGTAGCAGTCCACCGCCACCCAAAAACTTGAATCATGTGAGCAAGATTTTAAAGACGTTGTCGATAGTCGGAAAATCCACACCGTCTTGGGCTACTAAGAAATGCAGTGATGTTTGTGGAAATGTAAAAAAACTTAGTTGACACCACCACACTATTCAATCATTGAAAAACTACTATGAAGAGGTTATCTACAAGGATGCAAATAGGATTAGGAAAAACTTATCGAGTTATAAGCAAAACACTTAGCAAGCAATACCTATATTCCTGTTCTTATCCAGTCCGATGCTTTCATCGTCCGCCACGAGGTGGAAGAAAATCAGCTTCAAGAAAATATATAGACATGGTACGACGACAAATTTATCTTTTGGCCATTTATCACGTTAGGCCTGCCTCAACGGGCAATGAAAAGCTTCAGTGTGGCCGTATATAGGGTGAGTGAATCACTCGCCTTAATGCAAAATATACAATATATACGCAAATCATACTAGCAGAGTAGGACTAGTACAAAACAAGAAGAATGGAGTAGCCAAAATATGTACCAAAAGGGCGTTCTTTTCAAATATATCACAGAAATTAATGTTTACATTTACTTAATTTTTGAGTTAATCGCTGTTGAGCACGTAAGTCTAAAAAATGAGACGGTGATCAATATTCTTATTCCGAGTTCATATAGCAAAAACAGGTGATTCAAAGTCAGTCACTGGATACTGCAAGAAAGCAGTAACTTGTCTAATCATATTAATAAATTTCCCCGAAAAAATTGTAAAGTGTTAAGTTTTATTTATTGATGCAAGTTATTCAAGGGAATATTTAAAACACGGACATATAAAATGGGCACACAAATTTTTGTGGAAAACTTTTTAATCGGCAACAAAGAATGAGGAAACGTGTTTCTTGGGATTCAATCGAAAGTGTTGTCAGGAACAAAAAACCTCTTCAAATAAAATTTTTAGGTATTTATGAGACCTACAGAATGAAGCCACGCGTAAAAAGAGCCGACTAATAGTAAAAAATTTATGGCCGAAAACCGAGGGAAAATGGAGGTTTTGGCTAATACGACGATAATTTCACGCAGCTACTTGAAATTCCTCAAATCAGTAGGCTTCATACTTCTAAATAACCAGAACAAAATTGAACTCGATTGGTTAAGTAATTTTTGATAATTTTAATTGTTTATCTCAAAACCCCTGTCTTGTCATCACTACTAGTTTACTGAGCAATATTGCATGTGTATGTATGAGGGAGATGAAGATATATAAATGGATACAGGTAGTTTTACTTTGAGCCGCCAAGAACGGTGACTACAACTATATTACCTTTTATTGCGAAGAAAACAATTTTTTTCAAGATTTCTTCGTACTCTTGTGTATACATACATATTATTTCGAAATTTTTACACGGTCACAGATGAGCCTTGAAGTTTATAAAAAAATATTTCATATTCAAATGCGCTGAATTGTTTATAAAGTTAGCACGCAAACTGAAGACAATTATGTTTCAGACTGTCTTAGTCTAGTTAATATGTAGCATGTGATAAATGGCTGGATTATTGAAGACTGCATGACTTTGTCAAGTAAGAAGGTCACGTATTTCAGTTTCATTGCGAAGAAATATAATTCCCTGGACCTTTTTTCTAAAAGTATAAATCTGGTATACATGTGTTTTCAAAATCTCGTACGATTAAAACGACTCCAAGTTCAAAATGAGAGAAAACGAAAAAAAGGTAGACAAATAACAACCAATTGTAGCGAACTGATCATCTGAAAAATTAGGCAAAATGCTCGATATTAGTCCCTAGTACGTTATTTAAAGTTTCAGCATTGTATCTTGGAACAGTTTTCAAGAATATTGTTTATCACAGATTTGATATGCATCCAATGGTCGCTTGACATGATTTGTCACTGTCAAGTATAGTGGTATAACGATCCAGTAAACCAAGAGGCGTCGTAGTGTAGCGGGAAAGAGTAACGATTGCAAAACCGCAGGTCGGAGGTTCATACTAACATACTCGTACTAACTAGTCTAAGACAGTAACATAATCGTGTCTTCAGTTTCGGTGCTAACTTTATAAACAGTTCTGCGCATTTCAGTATGAAATATTTTTTTTTATAAACTTTAAGGCTCATCTGTGTCCGTGTAAAAATTTCTAAATATGTATACGCAAGAGTGTGAAGAAATCTTGAAAAAAAAATATTTTCTTCGCAAAAAAAGGTGATAGACTTTGTTTTAAAATGTGTATAACATGTTTTTCGAATATCGTAGCGAACTGTTCAACTACTCACAAATACGAAATGTTTGAATTTGTTTAGAAAAAAAACGTAACCCTTCGTTTTTCGCATAAAAGTGACAATTATCTTTCGGAATGGTTTGCGATTGATATCGGCAAGGTAAACGCGTGTATTTTGCTATTAAATGTCCTTTGAACGAACTCTGTACGAGGTGTGACAATTAATGAGAGTGATTCCATATAAACCGTATATTTAAAAATTAATCTACAACTCTGCCATCCCTTCAAAGTAGTCCCATTGGGCAGCTATACAACGAGTCCAGCGCGTCTTCCATGCTTCGTAACATTTCTGGAACGTTTCGACTGGGATATCCGCGAGTACCCTTATCACGGCCGCTTGGATGTCGGTAATCGTCTCAAAAGGTGTCCCTTTGACCACCGACTTTGCTCTAAGGAACAGGAAAAAGTCACAGGGTGACATACCGGGCGAATAAGGAGGCTGTTGCAACACGGCTATCCCTTTAGAGGTCAAATACTGGGACACGCTGAAGGCGGTGTGGTACGGCGCGTTGTCGTGATCAAGGATCATGTTGTTTGCGATGTCTGGGCGCACCCTGTTGACTCGTTTTCGCAAATTTTAGAGTACTTGGCGATAGTAGACTTGATTTACGGTTTGGCCCGATGGAGCAAATTCTTTGTGGACGATTCCAGGGCCATCAAAATAGGTAATGATCATCGTTTTCACATTCGACTTGCTCATGCGAGCTTTTTGCAGGCGGGGATCGTACGGAGACAACCATTGTGAGTTTTGGCGTTTGGTTTATGGATCCTATTGAAAAAACCAGCTATCATCGCATGTAATAACTCGATCAAGCAGTAGGGGATCGTTTTACACTTGCCCCAGTCTGCTGCGAGGGTCATTCGATGCTGCTCCATTTTCGTGACGAGCACCACCAACAGACGTCTACTCAACACGACACAGCAGGCGAACTAAACAAGCTAGAGCGATGGTAAATATACCAATGAAGTTGGGACGGATGCCTAGGAAGGTGAAGGTATTTAAAGGTCGCAGGTTTACCACAAGCGCGGCAATAAAATCATTCGCATTACTTAATTGTCACACCTCATATATCGCTCACAAAACTGGTGGTAGTGTTTTGGGATAAACAATTAGAAATTCTCAAAAACTGCTTGACGAATTTACTCCAATTTTGTTGCGGTTATTTAGAAGTATAAAGCCTACAGATTTGAAGAATTTCGAATACCTGCGTGAAATTATCGTCGCATTAGCCACAAGTGCCAAAACCTGCATTTTGCCTCGGTTTTCGGCCATAACTTTGTTACTATTAGTCGAATCTTTTTACGTGTGGTCTCATAAATACCTAAAAACCTTATTTAAAGTTTTTTGGTTCCTGACAACACTTTCAGTTTGATCCCAAAAAAACGTTTTCTAATTCTTTGTTGTCGAATAAAATAGTTTTCCCACAAAAATTGGTGTACCCATTTTATGCGTCCATGTTTTAAATACCACGTTGAACAACTTGCATCAATAAAACCATACTTTACAATTATTTCGCAAATCAGGGGTATTTTCGTGTAATATGACTATATCTGTACTATCATAGATATAAAAACAACAGTAAGGATGACGACACTATTGTCAGCCAGCCTGGCCAGCAAGTTGTCAAGCATATGAGACCGCAGATCGCATGTGAATAAAATGAAATGGAGTTCTGACAGTGTCAGCCAGAATAAATTCTACTTCTATTAATTTGATATCTCAGAATTCTAATGATAATACCCAGGCACCACCCCAACTGACCCACTTCCTCTTCTTCGATATCCATTAATATCCTTGTTCTTCCTTCTTCCCTATTCTGGCACACCGACTGACCTACATGGCATTTACCTAAAGCAATGGGTCTTATGCGCAGATCAGACAGACAGTAAGGAATACATCAGATTACAATATCATGGTTGTTGTCGTCTAGCAAAGAGACTCCATTGTCGAGCGGGATCATTATTTTTAGGATGCATCACATGGCTATACGACATATCTGAGATGAAAGTGACGATTTTTAGCGTTCTGAAACACCGTTTTTGCCAACAGAAAAACGCATCATATTTCACCTCATCTCTCACGTGGTTTCATTAATTTATTTATGTTATTCCACACACTACTATTACCTATTACATGTATGAGTATTAAATAAAGGTTAAATAAATCACTATGTCAATCTATCCACATGAAGGGGATACTGGCACTATAATATGAAAGTCAGCAATAATGGTACTGGAGTACTTTTTGAGAGATTTACTCAGTGTAAAAATGGATAAATTCGCAATTCATATTTGTACAAACTTCAAATCCTCGGGACACTTAGTACACTATTGTAGTATTGTGCACATTGACCTTCAAACAATAATTCAACAGTACGCCCTTCATAAGTTTGTGCTTTGCATATACCACAAATATCAAAAAATAACTTAAAATATGTACAAATGAACAAATATAAACAACTGTATGACCAGACATCAGGTATACACGGGTCACGAGTTTATATTATAGTAATACACTACATATATATATATATATCAAAATAAAAAATACGCACACATCCACACATCATTGGGGTTGTCGTGTTTCGGATAGTTTTGGGGGGCTTCTTGACCAAGCAGGTGCTATATTTTCTGTGGTTGTTACATTTGGCATTACTGCAGGTATTGAGATATCTCGATGTTCTATAAGAAGGATTAGGCTGGTTACTTCAAAAATATTAAAATGTGAAATGTGTTTACCGCGGAAGACCGTGGATTTTTGATGTTAGTCAGTCCGTTTGGAATGTAATAAAAGTAACATACACTTCCATACATTTAGCTCTTTATCTGTCTATGCGTATCTCATTATAAAACTTCCTGTATATGTACTCAAGGTTTTGAATTCGTCCATATTGTTCTTCAATTTTCTTGAGCCTTCTTAAGTATTTTCCTTATTCCGCACTCTTTAAAAGTCTTTTGACAAATAGCTCATCCACAAAGAATGAGAGCAGAAACTTATGATAATAAAACAATTGCGACTATACAAGTTTTTGAGTTACCACTCTGTAATTTTAATATCTAAATATTGGCATCGAATGCCACATAAATCACAATACTGTGTAAATATAATGCATTTAGTAACTTCGTCCTAAATATTTCATTGATCTGATAAATATTAAATTATAAAATACAGAAAATTTAGTAGCACGAATAATAGTATACTAAAGAAAATAAAGATGAAACATGCTAAGAGACGTAGATAATTGTTCCACTTAAAAAAAAATGAGTTTTAAGTATCCTCCAGTATTTATTATTTAAACAAAGTCAACTCAAATTGTACATCACTTCTATCAAAACCAACAAATAAAAAATCGAGTTCTGATTTAGCAAGTAATAAATATAGAAAAAGTATCTTTATGTTTATAAAACAGTCTCTGTAAAAACGTGAGTAAGCTGATAGAAAAATTAAATAGTTTGTTTTATACCTGAAGATACATTTGAGAACTTGCATTGGACAAAAGTTATTGACTAGTCTGGTTATTCCAACAGTAAAAACCGTTAGAATAGTAAGTTTTCAACACTTGCAGTTACAAAATAGCTATATTGAAAGAAAATATCAGTATCTCTTGACTAGGAATTCAAATTCAGCGATAAAATGAACCTGCCACTCTTTGAGACACCAGTACTTTGTTTCAACCTCGAACGCCGTACACACGGTATTGTAATACCTCAAAATCGTCCTGAAACACTCAAACCCTCCAGCAATAATTTATAAAGTCCTTCTACTTGACGACAGCAGCGGCGTTATTGTTTCTTGGGCAAGGGACGCACCAAATAGAGCTTCTCGCCCTGCTTGTTGGTATAGATCGGCGCCCGCTGGTAATGGTCGACCAACTGGTCGAGAGTGTGAAACTTCCGTTGCCCGATACAGTATAGAGCTCCCTCGACGTGGACGCGGAAGTGCTTGTTGCGACCAGGTGCTTTTAGTGAAACGGAGTAGTCGCCCACCTGCAATGAGAATTTTACCAATATTTCACTTTTGACATCGATCAAGCTGTCTTTTGGTGCTTTTTTATAGTGAAGCAATCACCTTAGGCTTCCCAGTACCCTGCGCGACCTTGACTATTGTAGGAAGACGGGTATTTCCGAGTCTGTCTGTCACTCTTCGGTTCCCTTCCATCAGTAAGCAAAAAGAGGGAAGTGTAGAGGTCTAAACATCGCAACTAGGCGACACGGCGGCGGTATTACCGCTTCCGCTCCCGCCGCGCCGCACGGCGAGGTATTAATGACGCTTGTCATTAGGACTCTTTCACACGATCCGGCGCGCGCTGCGTGGCGCTCCCGTATTTTGTCTGCTCAGTTTTTTTATATCGAAGCAGCCGCGCAAGCAGAAGCCTAAATGCCGGAACACCGCGGCTGCTATGATGATCCCAGAGAAATTTTGTTAATACGATTTTTGAAGTGCCTAAGGTTAGTAGAACTGGGAAAAGCTTCCTCTTGTAGTTTTTTCCACAATCACGATACCCTCGGGACAAAGGAGCGGTCGTATCGGCCAGTTCTAGATGTACGAAGTTCGACACGGTTACGATGGGACGCCAAAGTCAGGCAGGTCTGTCTGGCAGGCCCATCGCGTGGCGGCATCATTGAAGAGAGCTCTGAGGCGCAAAGCCTGTTGGTGTAGCGATAGAAAAGAGCTAGATCGCCGACGTCCCCATCGATCAGTCGGACCGCCCTCCTCTGGACAGCATCGAGCATGGATATTGTAGTCGGAGCGGCAGCACCCCAAACGTGTGAGCAATACTCGAGGCTAGGCCTTATCTGGTACTTCTATAGAGTGAGAAGGTCATGCGGAGAAAAGTACTTCTTAGCCCTAAACAAATAGCCTAGCTTTTTCCCAGCAGCTGCAGCTATTGACGAGATGTGTTCGTGCCAGATCAGGTCCTCGGTGATCTGGACTCCAACCAGCCGAAATGAATGGCCCTTTGGCAGAACTCGGATGAGCGCTAGGATACTTTTTGTTCGTCAAAGTACAGTACTGTGTTTTGGAAGCATTGAACTGTAGAATGCTGTCATCAGCGAAGCTGTGGATTGGGTTGATCGTGCAGGAAAGGAGGTCGTTGATATGTAAGAGAAACAGTGTTGGAGCCAAGACCGATCACTGGGGAACACCCGCGTTGACGTTGAGGGATGAAGAGGAAAACCCGTCAATTACGACGGATATCTTGCGGCCAGAGATAAAGTCAGCCACCCATCTGCAAAGCTTTTCTGGGAGGCCATAGGATGGAAGTTTGCTTAAGAGGGCAGCGTGCCACAGCTGATCGAATGCTTTCGTGACGTCAAGGGCAACGACATGAGCCTCACCATTAGACTGGATGAGTTTACTTCACAATTGCGTGACGTAAGCTAGGAGGTCCCCTGCGGATCGTTGGTGTCGGAAACCATACTGCCTGTCGCTAATCAAGCTGTGACGTTCGAGGTAGTCCTGAAGCTCACCATTTATGCACCTCTCCATCACCTTACTTATTAACAGAAAGCAGAGCTATAAGCCTGTAGTTGTAAGGGTCGGTCTTAGATCCCTTTTTTGGGATGGGTTGTACAATAGCAAATTTCCAGTTTTCTGGGAAGGTGTCGGATTCATAAGATATCTGGAAGAGACGCGAAAGAACTGGAGCAAGCTCCGCTGCACACCTCTTCAGTACAATGGCAGGAATCAAGTCCGGACCAGAAGCTTTGTTGATGTCGAGAGACAAGAGCACTCGTCTTATGGCCTTATGCCTGAATGTTACCTCCCGCATAGTGTAGGGAACCGTTTGAGTTGACGCACTTGAGCGTTGGGGGGAACGTCCATGGTGGAGTTGGCAGTAAAGACCTTGGCTAGCACTTCCGCGTTGGCCTTTGAGCCGAATACAATAGTTCCATCCTGGCACGTAAGTGGTGGAAGGCTACTGTGTGAGAAGTTCTTTTCAATCTGCTTGGCCAGCGTCCAGAAAGACCGACTACCATTGCGCTGCGACTTTACCCTGTGCCTAACTTTTATATCGTGCTGGTGTTTGGCAATGCGAACCGCTCGTTATATTTGTTTCTGGACTCGACGTCGGCTTGTCTGATCTCTACAGTGGGGTTTTGTAAGAAGGTTCTGTGTGCCTTGATCTTCTGCTGGCGAGCAGTGTCACACGATTTGTTAAACCAGCCGTTGGACCCTGGTTTAGGCACTTTCACTGTGTGAGGGATGTATTCCTCCATTCCGACGTGGATAATTTCTGTTATCGAAGAACAGACAGCCGACGCATCTGCGTCAGTGAAACCGACATCTTTCCAAGGAAAGCTAGAGAAGAAATCTCTAAGCCCCTCTCAGTCGGCATGCCCGTAATAGCAAGTTTTGCGGCCTGTACGAGTTTCTGCTGCCACAGCGGGTTCTGACCGAAACCTAACCTCCACAACACCGTGGTCTGAGTTACCCAGGGGGGACAGGACAGCAGTGCTGTAAGGGGCAGGATGCGTGGTCAGAAAGAGATCCAGCAGGCTACTGGCGTGTGACGAGACGCGGGGGAAAAAAGTAGGGCTCGTCACCAGCTGGGTCAGCCCTTGAGTAAGAGCGACCGCTTCGACTGCACGACCTGCTGAATCGGTCTTGTTTGAGCGCAACCAAAGCTCATTATGGGCACTGAAATCGCCGAGAAGAACTACCTCTGAAGCGGGATTATTGATGTTCAGGAAGTCGATCTGGACGGCGTGGTATTCGAGTAGGTCATCCCATCGTACGACTATATTCAGTTGGTACAGAGAATTCCAAAGGGGCAATTTCACTCTGCAGGACGCTGAGAGGGACGTACGCGTCAGTAACACAGGAAAATATTACTGCTGTGAGGAAAATGCTTGACGAAGACTGGAGAGTGACATACCAACAGATAGAGGAAACCTTACACCTTCATGCACTAGCAATTCATTCAATTCTGCATGACCATTTACACGTAAGGAAACTTGGTTCTCTCTGGGTACCGCATAGTCTGACGAAAGAGCAGAAGTCTCGCCATACGACTTGGTGACGAAAGATGCTGAAAATGTTTGATAAGGGGCAGTCTCCGTATTCGAACAGCATCGTGACAAGACTTGGCTCTATTATTACGATATGGCGACCAAGGCGCAAAACAAAATTTGGGTCCTTGATGATGAGGACACACCCGTAGCTGTCAGAAAATCACGATCTGTTAAGAAAAAAATTATAGCTGCTTTTGTCAAATCGAGCGGGATTGTGGAGCGTGTCGCTTTGGACACACAGAAGGCAGTCAGAGCTAAGTGGTAGCCGGAACAGTGCCTGCCCAAAGTCATAGAGTCTATGAAAAACCTCCACCATGACAACGCTCCAGCTCACCACGCCAAAGCCTGCACCAAGTATTTGACCACTACTGGACTGAAACTTATTGGGCACCCCCCTTACAGTTCAGATCTTGCTCCCTGCGACTTTGCACTGTTCCCGCATGTGCAAATAAAGCTAAAAGGAAACCGGTTTTCTAGCGATGAGGACCTTCTGAAGGCTTGGGACGAGTGTGTCGCACCCCCGGGTGAAACTTGGCAGAGCTGGTTTAAGGACTGGTGTTGGCGGATGGAGAAGTGTATTAAATGTGGTGGAAATTACTTTGAACGAAGTCAATAAATAAAGCTGTATTGCAAAAGTTTTATGGCACCCTTTGTATAAATAAGGTACATATGAAGCTCTAATAATATAAATAATAATGGAAAGCTGACCGGCAAGCCGAGCTGGAGAGTTGTCGCGGCTGGCGCTGCCTGGGACCGGCGAGTCAAGGTCACCCCTGGCATTTCGGTTAAAAAATTTGGCATTCAACAAAAAATATATACGCATGTCTCATAAGGAATCTCATTCCTGATCGAAATAGGACAGAGCGAAGTGCTATCTATTACCGGAATCAACCACTGCGAGAGTGAAAACAGCAAGCTGTCTGTTGGAACTACTTTGTGTAGTACTAGGAAGTACTTTTTACCGATCAAACTTGTCATTCACTAGAAGGCCCAGATAAGATCCAGCCTGAAGTACTGCTTGCATGAGGGGGAGCTATTGCCCTGACTACAGTGAATGCACTTTAGTACACTTCAGAGAACATTGCCTTATCATTCGTCAGCAACAAGCCTCTTTTTGTATCGACGAGTCGTCAGTGATTTCTCTTTTTCGGATATGCCAACAGAATTTGTTCTTCTGAGCTCTTTCCCATGATATTGCCACATTCTAGACCTGCTGGATGGGCTCACAAGGCTTCTGTCTTTTTGTCTAATTTGGTCGAACTCAATACCTACTACTATAAAGGTTCTGCCTAGTCCTGAATTACTTTAGATATATCGTTCACCACATTTTCATTACCTCTTTTGGTCATAGCTAGTTTAAAATTCGTACTTAAGACTCCCCAGTACCCCATCTTACCTTATCTTACCAATTCGTAGTGCTTAATGAAGAGAAACGCTAATCAGTTTTTTTTAAGTTTTTTCTACAATAATATGTTGAATTCCAATATTTACATTCTTGTACCTTCTGTGGTTAAAGAACCAAACCTGATATAGGAAAAAGGAAAACATGACATGACATTTCTTTAAGATCTGAATTTTATCGTGTTGCTGTATTTTCAAAGAATACTTGAACATTCTGTACAAGCGGTTGCAATACGAGCCTTCTAACGAAGCGCTCAAGTTAAAATCGACTGATATCGCGCACTCTCTCCACCTGCCCTAAAGACATATCTCCGCTCGAGTCTGTCAAATGTGTGTTAGTAGTAGCTCTAATAATTTTATCTGGGAACACTCAATCAATTGAGTATATTATTTTCGTTTGTTTCTGTTCTCTTGGTGATAACTTCATGTTCTGTAAGAAGATTAGGTTTGATTTAACGTTTGTCCGAAAGACCGAATACAAAGGGTACTATAAAGTATTGCAATACAGCTTTATGTATTGACTTCGTTCAAAGTAATTTCCGCCATATTCAATACATTTCTCCAGTTGGCAAAACCAGTCCTCAAACCAGCTCTGCCAAGGTTCACCCGGGAGTGCGGCACACTCGTCCCAAGCCCTCAGAACGTCCTCATCGCTAGAAAACCGTTTAGCTTCATTTTCACATGCGGAAACAGTGCAAAGTCGCAGGGAGCAAGATCTGGACTGTAAGAAGAGTGCTCAATAAGTGTCCATTCTTGACCTTGGCCGCAGGCTTTTTAAAGACTCTGTGACTTTAGGCAGGCATTGTTCCATGTACCACTTAGATGTGACTGTCTTCTGTGTGTCCAAAACGACACGCTCCACAAGCCCACTCGATTTGAATACAGCTATTTTTTTTTTTTTTGACAGATCGGGATTTTCTGACCGCTACGGGTGTGTCATCATCAAAGACCAAAACTTTGTTTTGTGAACTGGTCGGCACATCGTAACAATAGAGCCAAGTCTCGTCACTTGTCATGATGCTGTTCACATACCGAGATTGTCCCTTATCAGACATTTTCAGCATCTTTCGGTACCAAGTCGTTCGACGAGTCTTCTGCTTTTTCGTCGGACTATGCGGTACCCAGAGACAACGAAGTTTCCTGTGGCTGGTCATGGAGAATTGAATGAATTGCTGGTGTATGAAGTTTTAAGGTCTCCTTATCTGTTGGTATGTCACTTTCCGGTCTTCGTCAAGCATTATATTAAGCGGTGATCGATTGTTTTAAGTTAGAGGTCACGTGACATTAGAGATTATGGGCGGGCGACGTCGACGCGGTTTTTCCCGGTTCGCGAAACGTCCGGAAGGAAAGCGATACCGTTTCGGCGCTTTAACGGGGAGCGAGAGCCGTCGCGGTGAGAGGAACGAATCGGATCGAAAACGGCCGGTAAAGTCGAAAAATCGCGCGGTACGGAGACTATTTTATCTGCCGTCTCGCCGTTTATTCCAAAAATCGACTGGAGATCGGTCTCGTTCGATAGCTAAACGACGGGCGCTCCCATTAGGGTGGAACTGTTCGCGTTCCGCGTCTTAGTTTTTTTTGGGACACTTTCAAAGAAAACGCGAGAAAAACGGCAAGTCGCGGTAAAAACTTCGATATCTCCTTTATGCCGAAGAGAAAAGAAATTTCGCACGCCGCGTTTCGTACATCTCGACTAGCGCTACGAATTACGCGGAGAGACGTTTTTCCGTTTACGGTACCGCTATCGAATAAACGACCTTCGAACATCGTCTCAGACGACTTTTTTGCTTATGAAACGCGCTTATCGCCGTCCACGGTCTATCTCCTCCGAAGATAACGAAGATACGGACCTGGCGACTGTCGCATGAGAAAGCCCGTACTTCGAATACGGGATCGCAACTTTATCCGTTTCTTTATTCGTTTACGTTGAAAAGTTTCGATTTTTTGAAAATTGAACTGACGAAACGATTCTGAGCGTTAGAATTACCGTCAAATTTCGAAAAAGTAAAGTTAGAGCGCCTCAAAAGTACCGATGACAACCGTTTTTCGGCGTACTTTGTCATCGTCGATACGGACCTGCGTTACGGAGCGACATAGCTACGATTTTTTTTCGCAAAACGACAGACCAAAGTCTCCTGATTAAACCGATATACTACACGTTACCCGGTCGCATGTTTTAAACTCGGCAGATTAGAAAATTCAAAGATATGCAGATATTTTTAGTTTGAAATTTCAATTTTGATTTTCGCTCCAGATTCGCGATTCCTGTTAGGCGGGGTATCGTAGGTATGATCGTATTACGAAAGCGAGCGCGTGCAAGCCAAACGTCCGAAACGTGCCATTTTCGGCTTCATGACGATCGCTTCATCCAATATTGGATCATACCGAATAGAATTGTCCTTTTTTACGCGTGAAAATAAACAATTTCGAAAAGATTCAGAATTTCTATATTCTATAGTCCAAACGGTACCGGACTATACCCATATTCAGAATAACAATCTAGTAGGTTGCGATGTTTACCGACAGATTGCGATGTTTACCGACAGATTGTGCAATTATTCTTTCACGTTTAGCAGTTCATAGAAGTCATCATCAGTTTAAATACGATAAATATGATTGTAAGTGCCGTCAATTCAAAGGGATCCCTACACTATGCGGGAGGTAACATTCAGGCATCAGACCGTAAGACGAGCGCTCTTGTCGCTCGACATCAACAAAGCTTCTGGTCCGGACTTGATTCCTGCCATTGTACTGAAGAGGTGTGCACCGAAGCTTCCTCCAGTTCTTTCGCGTCTCTTCCAGATATCTTATGAATCCGGCACGTTCCCAGAAAACTGGAAATTTGCTCATGTCCAACCCATACCAAAAAAGGGATCTAAGACCAACCCTTACAACTACAGGCCTATAGCTCTGCTTTCTGTTTTAAGTAAGGTGATGGAGAGGTGCATAAATCGCGAGCTTCTGGACTACCTCGAACGTCACGGCTTGATTAGCGACAGGCAGTATGGTTTCCGGCACCAACGATCCACAGGGGACCTCCTAGCTTACGTCACTCAATTGTGGAGTAAACTCATCCAGTCTTATGGTGAGGCTCATGTCGTTGCTCTTGACATCAGGAAAGCGTTCGATCAGCTGTGGCACGCTGCCCTCTTAAGCAAACTTCCATCCTAAGGCCGCCCAGAAAAGCTTTGCAGATGGGTGGCTGACTTTATCTCTGGCCGCAAGATATCCGTCGTAATTGACGGGTTCTCCTCTTCATCCCACAACATCAACGCGGGTGTTCCCCAGGGATCTGTCTTGGCTCCGACACCGTTTCTCTTACATATCAACGACCTCCTTTCCTGCAAGACCAACCCAATCCACAGCTTTGCTGATGACAGCACTCTACATGCAGGAATTCAGAATGACAAGCCGATCTCTGCCGCTGAGTTGGAAAAAAGAAGACTAGCGATGACTTCCTCTCTGACAAGAGACCTGGAGGCTGTCACTGCTTGGGGACGCAACAATCTTGTACAGTTCAATGCTTCCAAAACGCAGTACTGTACTTTGACGAACAAAAAGCGTCCCTGCGCTCTCCCGGTTTCGATGGATGGTCGAGTTCTGCCAAAGAGCCATTCATTTCGGCTGGTCGGAGTCCAGATCACTGAGGACCTGATCTGGCACGAACACATCTCGTCAATAGCTGTGGCTGCTGGGAAAAGGCTAGGCTATTTGTTTAGGGCTACGAAGTACTTTTCTCCGCATGACCTTCCCACTCTATACAAGGCCCAGATAAGGCCTAGCCTCGAGTATTGCTCGCACGTTTGTGGTGCTGCCGCCCCGACTACATTATCCATGCTCGATGCCGTCCAGGGGAGGGCGGTCCGACTGATCGATGACTCTTCTCTAGCAGACAGTCTCGGGACTCTTTCGCACCGGCAGGCTGTCGGCGATCTGGCTCTTTTCTACCGTTACACCAACGGGCTTTGCTCCTCAGAGCTCTCTTCCATGATGCCGTCGCGCGATGTGCCTGCCAGACAGACCCGCCTAACTTTGGCGTCCCATCCTAACCGTATCGAACTTCGTACATCCAGAACCGGCCGATACGACCGCTCCTTTGTCCCGAGGGTGTCGAGATTTTGGAACAATCTACAAGAGGAAGCTTTTCCCAGTTCTATTAACCTTAGGCAGTTCAAAAATCGTATTAATAAAATTTCTTTGAGATCATCATAGCAGCCGCAGTGTTCCGGCATTTAGGCTTCTGCCTGCGCGGCTGCATCGATATATGTAAAAAAAACAATCATTCTTTAATGGAAGCGTCATTTCTTCTAAGCCCTGGTCTATGCTTAGACCACGCGTATAGTTATACCGTAAAACTGTACTTATCTCACTACGTAACCACGATTCCATAGTCCGCACTTTACACTGACAATACGAAGTAACAACTAAATCAACGGACGTGCTGCTGGCGGCTACTATGCGCTTATGGACATGTCTCAACGTGCAGTAACATGCAGCCTCCTGCGTGCGTTTGTCATAGTCATACTGCAAAACTTTTATAGTACCCTTTGTATAATGTTCAGGCCATACTGAATGTTTGTGCTGGATCCCACTGCATAGACCGCAAGAATGGATATAACCAGAGAGTCCTATGGCGGCACGAGTCTTCCGCCAACCAAGACAGAGTGAATTTCGCATAACCACAAGAGGTTCTCATAAACCGCAACTTCCAACTTTCATAAAACCGCTATAAAACCCGCAGTGATATTCCCTAAATAGTGTCACATTTGGATACACTCTTCAAGTGCCGCCCTATTTGGATTTAGAGCCCGCCAAAGCTGGCCTAGCAAGGAACCCCCGAGACGAACAGACAAAGAAGACCTCCACTATCTGAGGTAGGGCTTTAGCCATTTTTTACCGGATCATCAGAGGTTTCAGCAATCCAACCATTTTTAGCTGGCCATTGCCGCAACTGCGCACCTTAATGTGGTCCTAAACGCCACATATGTATAATGTGGTCAATAAATGGTATAATGATTTCCATCCAAATTCCTGTATTTTAATTTTATTTATTTAAAGATACGGTGAATACTTACGTTAGTCTCGCTATCCCTAATAAGAAAATCTCCGTCATGACCATGTTGGTTGAGTAGATTATCGCAGACGTATCGCGTGATGCTGCCGTAGTACCATGGCTTATCTGAAATAATGAAAATATATCAAGGAGTTATAAAGGCTCTTACGGACAATCAAGGAAATCATCCAAAAATGAGGATTGAAAAATAACACACGAACCTATTAGATGAGGCCTTTCCGCAGCAGCCATAGCTACCGCCCCTGGAACGGCCACAGACTGTGGAGGACAAACTGTTACACCAGGACCGCCATCTTGGCCACCTTTTCGCTCCGTGAATGGCCGGTCCATATAGTCGGAAAGCTCTTGAAGGTAGTTCCGAGGCACTAGGCCCACTTGACCTTGAGCGTTCCGAGCTTTGTACCTGAAGATAAGAGAAGAATCAATCACTGAAAATCTTGTCACGTATGTAACATTTTTAATATATTGGGTGTTATCTTCCTACGAGTACAAAAATTCAGTGATGTTGACATATGAGGTCATCCTTATGACTAAATATGACACTCACGCAGACAAATAACACAGCAATGCTATCTAGACTTACAGACGAATTTTTATTCTGGAATACTGCAACACCTTATTTTTAGGTCGCCTGAATTATTACATAGTCATGTAATGATGACAGCCAACTGTTTTCTAACCATGTTTTCTGCGACTATTATATTTATTATAAGAAACGCTATAGATACAAGGTTGCCCATTTATAGTGAAAAATATACGAGATCTGTAAATTAAGTGATGAGAGTGACGACGTAGAGTTCGATTTGGCAACACTGGAGGAGGCAAGGTTGGAGGGGGACAGGTGAACATGTGATCCGCTTTCAGCATAAGTTGTAACTCGGTCGAGTCATTTGGTTGTCCGTAGCGATTTTCTTTGTGTAACAGTTTTTCCTATTGTGTTCTCAAAATGAGTTACATCAATTTCGAGCAATGGTTGTGCTACCAGGTTTTCCCTCGGACTTGGGCACCGTGGAACAGAAAGTATTGTTAAACTTCAGCAGGCCTACAGTGATAGTGTTCTAACAAGAGTCCAGGTTTTTCCATGGCTTAAAGCATTTTCAGAAGGAAGATAGTCGATTGACAGTCAGAATAATCGGAGAAGAGTTAAATTTGACTCAAACCACCATTCATCAGATCAAGAACAGCTTGGTGATGCATGACAATAATGCACCTTATCTCACATCAATGTCAATAAACGAGTTTTTGACCAGTAAAAACATTCCTGTGGCTCCTCGGCCTCCTTATTCGCCTGACTTGAGCCTCATTTTGGGGCACTCGAAAACGTTCAAACGGCTGCAAGTGGCCAGCTGAAGACTATTCCAGTATAGGAGTTCCAGCACTGCTATGAGGAGTGAAAGAATAGTCTCCAGCGCTAAGGTGGCTCCAGAAGGGTTATTTTGAGGATCACAATATTAAAATTGTGATTATATTTGAATAAAAAAATTTAAAAATCAGTCTCATCACTTAATTTACAGACCTCGTATATTCTACCAATTATAAGCACTTTTGGTAAACAAATATGGTAAGCAATGAACCATGAGAATAAAAAGTGACAACACTCATATTCTCAAGGTTTTGAGCCCGAGAGGAAAAGCGCACTTTTAACGTTCCAAAAAAATTACTTTGTTCGTTTTGAAACAGATACGTTAAACAATTACGAACCCTTAAATTGGGACAGAGTAATACAAAGTACAGTCACTAACAGGAGAGACGTCATCGAAACTGTAAAATCTGTTTCACGTGAACTACTATCTAATTCAAAATCAAACTGATACCAGTATACAGATGAACAAAAATCGTATCTTTCCTATTCCTCTTTAGCACGTTTTAACTATTACTTCATAGGAATCTACTTAAAGAAAATGATACCTGATTCACAGACATGTCCCCTTTTGAGCTAATCTGACACATATTCGGAGACAAATATGCAAAACGAAATAAGGCTTACCATTCAGGATCGCTAGCGGGCCGGTCCAAAATTTCCAGTCTATCCCCCTTCTCAAAGCTCAGTTCCTGTTCATTGGACGAAGAAAATGAATATAATGCAACACATATATCCAATACGTTTTCCGCCATTGCATAGGTATGTAGCGTATCGTCGACATCACCTTCTTCTTGGGTATAGTTGGATGGGAACCATCCAGATATGTTACTGCTTTGACCTCTCCACCACCCTAAAAAAAATTATGTTTTCAGCTTCTTCCTCAAATAATTTTAGATAGTTCAGGAAAAATGTCTTCAAATGCGGACTAGGATGCTATAAATACACAGTTATGTTACAGTTAGCACTAGATTGTGTAATTTTTTCAAAATAAAATTGTAAACTTTATAAAGACCATTATTTATTATAAAGGGTGTCTCAATCAGAGCGCCGGATTTGATTTTCAGGTAAAACACAGTTTCTTTTCGCATTAAGCGAGCATTTATATTTCAACATGAAGAGGAATAGTTGCGATTAAACATAAATAGAACATCCGGTAAATGGCCACCACAAAACCTCTGGCACAGGGTCGCCGTATTTATGTTATATTTATATTTATTTATTTCCTCCCGACAAAAAACATTGTATAGGAATTCTCATACATTTTCAAATCTTAAAAAAATATATCTAACAAAAAACAGTCAAATTGTAAAAAATAAGATAGCAAAAAATAAAATTTAACGGCATATATCACAATATTATTCCACACTTGTTTCAATTAAATTATAATTAAATAGTCTTTTAAGAAATCCTTATTTTTTTTAGACACTGGAAATTCTTTATTTACAAAGGAAGTAGGTTAAACATTTTTTGGGGACTTTTACATAGTTTGGGTTCTATAGCGTGATATATAAAAGTCTTCACTAATCCTCGTATTAATTGAATGCATTTGGCCGTGTGTTGGGAATTTGTCTTTATTTTAAATATGTATAAACAAGTTTCCAATATATATACAGGGTGACTTTGAAGTTGAGTCATTAATTTTCAGATAATGATTGTAGAAGGAAGATAAACCAAAATATGTGTGTAAAAATAAAAAAAAATTGAAAAAAAATGTTACCTTGTTTTATAAAGTATCCTCCCGACAAGTATTTCAGTGCGGACCTGTATTTGATCGTGCGGTCTTGGAGCACCGGCATGCCCTCCCCTGTGAGGTCTTAAGTCACCTGATTCACGAGCCCTTTGTACTACATTAACAAAGGCACGAGGGGTTGGTTGCACTCGATTGGGAAACCGATCTGCATAAAGACTCCCCCCCCCCCGTAAATAAGAATCATGTCCACAAGTTCAGCATTTTCATAAACATGTGCCATTTTTGATTTCGTTTGAGCCACGCAACAGACACCACTATTCACTCACGCGTTACCGACTGACACTGACTGTATACAACTAAATAAAATAATTGTAAAAACATCGTTCCAAATTCTTTCGATTTTTTGTTTCCGATGCGATGAACCGATAAGGCGGATTATATCCGTTGTTGCCAAACACGAGCACATAATATTATTATTGAGACAGGGCGGTACTCAAACTTCCAAAGGGCTATAACTTTGTTACTTTAATTTTACCAGAAAAATGGTAAAGGAAAAAAACATTTCTTTTGATCAGATCTACTCACTGTTAAAATAAATGACTCAACTTCGAAGTCACCCTATATATATATATATATATGGTGGCCCATCCATGTGGGGACGGAATATTACTCATAAACAAATACATTTTGGGAAAATCTATTTATGGCATGTTATACAGCTTTTATCATATTTTTTGCTTTTTCGAATTTTCATTTTTGCTCATACAGGGTGGTCAAAATCGCGAATTGTGCTTTTTCTCAAAAATTTCAAATGCATCACCCTGTATATTTGTGCAAGTTTGGATCAAATTTTTTATAAGCTTTTTTTATACTAGGCACAAAAGGTTTTTTACGGCTATTTTTTCGGTTATTAGTACGTCTTTTATGGAACGGCTTAATTCCCTAAAATATCGCATCATCCTTGGAAACAAATTTTATATATATATTATATAAACCAGTAGGTATTAGTACTCTGAATCTCTTAAACAGATCTCTACATGATCTAGCACTAACACCTGCTATACATCTGATAATTCTATCTCTCCTTTAAGGCGTTCAACTGTTTGTGGCTTGTTCGCATACACCTTTTCCTCCACAAAACTCCAGAGGAAGACGTCCATTGGCATTAGATCCCACGATCTTGGTGGCCAATTTTGATCGCCAAACCGAGAGATGATACGGTCTGGAATCTTGGTTCGCAGTAACACCACTGTTTGAAGAACATATCCGCCACATCAATTCGATCCAACTGGGGCCACAAAAACTCGGTTAACATTTCGCGATACCGTACACCGTTAACAGTTACCGCAGTTCCAGCTGCATATGCTCCAATCACTCCGCCACTCCACAATGCGCACCAAACGGTAACTCGCGGCGGATGCATTGGTTGTTCGATTATTACACGAGGGTTTTCAGAACCCCAAATTCGGCAGTTCTGCTACACTGTAGATAAATCTATTTTATTAATGTATTATCATGCCCAAATACACTCTCATCTTTTCTGGTATATAAGCATGGGGATGCTCTAGCCTCTAGGGGATGCCAGAGGACCTTTGTTCTACAGGAAAGAGCAAACAGATGCATAGTTGGTGTTGTGCACAGAAGAACTGGCTGCAAATAATTGTTTAAAGGCATTTGTATTTTAAAATTAGTATAGGTGTACATTTTCCAGGTGTTGTCATATCAAAACTAGGAATCAGTTACTTGAAACACCCTCAGACAAGCTGTCTACCACTGAACATAGTCCATAATGAATGGTCATCAAGGTATTTAATAAATTGCCTGACAATATTAAAAACCTCTCTTATCTTGTTCTAGTCCTATTTCACGTGTACTTTATTGTTTTCTTGTCAATAATATGAACTGTTTTAGAATGAACTAATAATTATTTATATTTTGTTCTAAATTGTAGGTTTACTTGGCGTTCGCCAAACATATACAGTGTATGACTACAATATGCTAAATTAAATAAATAAATTAAGGTTATACATCCGCAGATCCGCATTGCATGCATCAGACTATTTAAATTAAACAGAGAAGTGAGGTTATAATTTGATCAGTTTAGTGGGGTTGACCCAGAAGTTACGTCAAGCCGGAAATGGGGGATTAGCAAGGTCATAATACTTATCAGAAAAATATACAGAATCTTAGTCGTTTACTTTTGAAATTAAAAGCTTTAAAAAAATCGGAAAAATCTACACCATTTTAGTTTCCATTACTACATTTTTTTTTTCTTAGACGGAGTGACGGGTCAGTGCGATTCTACGTAGTCGCAGCAAGACAGATAGTAACGTCACTTCTATTAATTCGTGAATGTATTTATTAAATGCACAATCAATGTTCAAACTGCCTTCCTTCAGCAGCAATGCAAGCTTGACATCTCAAAAATGATCGGGTTATCAGATGGGCTAATCTTCCGTTATTAACAAATTTAGCTGCTTCCGTCATTCTGTCCCGTAGCTCAGCTAAATTTTCGATTGGCTTTGAGTAAACTTTTTCTTTCACCGCTCCCCAGAAAAAAATGTGGATTTAAGCCAGGTGAACGGACTGGCCAAGAAAGTGTATCGGGCCGCCCTATCCAGATCTGCTCGGGCATTCCGCATCATGATATTCTCTAACAGAACGGGAATAGGGCGCCGAGCAGACGTCTTGAAGGTACATGTCTCTGCAAATAGTTAGTTGCACGTCTTCCAATAAATTTTGTAAAAAGTCTAAATAAATTCAGCCATTCCAGAAGCTCAAAAGGCACAATGATTCTCCCGGTGTACATGTTTAATCACAAATTCGCGGACACTGACGCCATATCAAGTCAAGGAACTGTTTTCTGGCGGGGCACTGAGAAATGTTGAGGTGTAATCAAAATGTCACTTTAATAAATTATTTCATATCAAACATAGAAAAATAAATCAAATAGCATTCAAACAAGAATGTTGACCCATTTAGCTATGGTGAAAAAATCATGCGTGATCCGACGTCTATTCTCGTATTCTGAATCAGAACAAGAGTCTGAGTCCTGTTGCATATATTCAGGATTGGCAATCGAGTCATCTGTACTATATGGATCATGTCTACTTTCATCTTCACTCTCACACTCTTCATATCAGCGCATCCACTGCTCGTCCATTTTTCTGTGGCTATAATACACACATCTGCTCTCGATAATAAACAGACTCACACTGCGAACACGTATACGAATGACTAGGTATGTCCGAAGATGTGCTTCTCTCCCCTCTTAAAAAACAATCTGCTACATTTATTATTTGACAGCAGGTATCCAGTGGGACACCTTACCTCCTAATTAATTGAAATTGACGTGATTATACTTACCGCAAAATGAAGTTAGAACACTATATGTAGTTAAGGGCAAATGCCGTCACTGTCCCAGTAGACACACAAGTGACTTGTGGCTTATGGCGTCAGTGTCAAAACCGGCTCATGCTGGCAAAATGGTGTCCGCGAGCGATACTGTAGTCTATATTATCTCATCAAATGTGGATATTCTACATGCCTCTCGTGTAAGTTGTGTAGATTCATGAAACCATCTTTTTTCAATGTCGACTCATCAGTCCATACAATTTTCCCACTCAACTGTTGGAAGATAATCCCGCGTTTGTAGATATTGTACTCGCTGTACGTGGTACGGGTGGAGCTCGTTTTTTCGCAAGATTCGGCGGGCACTCCCGTGCTTGCTTCTATTTGATGTACTCGGGTCTTCTTCGACTGCTTGTAGTACGACGTTCTCGTAAGGAAAGGAAATTCTTCCTTCACCATGTGATTGATATAGGAATCGTCCTTCTGAGAGTAAACGGTGCACATTTAAACAAACTCGGTGATCAGGATGACGAGCAGCATTTGGGTACCTCTCACGATAAAGCCTAGCTGCAGCACTAGCATTGAATCTAAATTCCTCATAAATGAGGTGCATGTTGGCGTATTCCTGTATGGTGAACACTGCCATGGTGGCACTACACTATCATGAATTAATGAAAGTGGCGTTACTATCAGTCTTGCTATCACTACATAGAATGATACTGTCCGTCACTCCATCTAAGAAAAATTTGAAATTTCTAATAATGGGAAATAAACGATCATCGCAAGGTGTAGATTCTTCCGATTTTTTAAAGCCTTTAATTTGAAAACTACATAACTTAGATTTTTTTTATATATTCCTGATAACTATTATGACTTGGCTCATGGGCACGATTTAAGTTCTTATCCGAATGTTGGTCACACTGCATGGACTTACCATCATTACTCTTCTCTAAAATTAATATTCTGGACCCTTTGACCAATGACAGTTCATCAGGCTGTTGGGCCTGATAGTTGTATTTCACGACAGCTACACCGATAGCTTCGGATGGATCCGCAGGTAACCGTCGCGCCATGCCAGGTGATTCTATTCCTCGTGAAGGTGAGTTATTTGATGGTAAGGTTTTGGAACCAGAACCTTTTTTCACCTAAAAAGAATGACAGAGATGTTGAAGCTGCCTGCAGACATACCTGTAATTCCAGTCCAAAGGCAAGTTTGTTTTCATCTCAAAGCTACATTTACCACCAGCATGAATTACCATTGTCAACAAGTATTTTTTGGTGAGGTGTCAACACCATTAAAAAAATAAACGCGACTGAACTAAAATTAGACAATTTGTTTATGAATTTTTATGGTGTTCTATCATAGTAGATAGTGTTGTATGATCTGGGTTTATAGAGTACATATTGCATGAGAAGGTTATTTCAATGAATTATCTGTGTACCTTTTTCTTGATGCTATCAAACAGTGATGGCTTTTCTTTCTTCACGTAATTGCTGGGCACGTACCCTGCCTGACCCCTAGAATTCTGTACTTTCCACCAGTGCTTAGAATCGTCTAGTAGAACATAACGTTCGTTTTTCTTAAGGTCCAACTCCTGTGGTCCCTGATGTTCATAATCGTATTTTGCCACCACATAGCATATGTCGTCTTGGCCACTTTTGCCTAAAGAAAAATCAGACAGATATGCTAATGCTTCAGGTCATACTTAAAGAGTGTAACACTAAGAAGTAAATACTTCAGGGTTTCGACTTCAGTCTAACAATCATCATGAGAGCAAAGAATCAGGGTCTGTGAATGGGGTTTTTGGCCTTGAAATAACTCGAATTTCATGTCGATCGCCTCTATGAAATTTTTGCATTGAATTTTCTTTAAAAATATATTTTAAACTTCCATCAACATTTTTCTTTTTATCTTAGTACTTAACATTTTAGTCTAAAAATCACTCGTTTAGAATATTTAACTTATCACTTTTATATGAACACAACTTCAAATCTACAATAAAACACAATGAGACACAAAACAGCACTCACACAAAGAATAAAAGTTGAAGTTTTATTATAATTGTATATTCATTTGTGTCAACTTTTGTTTTTATAGTGAGTGAGAGAAGCCAAACTTCCAGTTTTATACAGGGTGTTTAATTCATGAACCAACAAAAATGTTTACCATAATGCTCTAAGGGGTACAGTTACCGAGATATATATTTTTTCATTTTTGAGCTGAATTCCTTGAAATGCTGCATAAAGAGCATTATAACTTTTCTGTTTGTAACACAAAATAAACGTGATAATGTATGCTTAATCAGAGCAAGTAGTTCATACAAACAGCCTCAAAAAATTAATTCCAAGGCCATATAATTGTGTGGAGTGAATGAAAAATTTTAAGTTAAAAATTCAATTACCAAAAAACGATACTTTTTTTAAACTTATCTTTATTTATAGAAGTTCTGTGGTTTGATACCTATCCAACTATATACTACACATTGTAAAAATAATTTTTCAAGAGGTCAAAATAAGAGAAAACAACTGGTTATTTCAAGTTTTTCATGTATTTATTTAATTTGAATCCATTACAAACTATTTTCAAAGGTACTACTACTACTTTCTGAGAACAATGAACGTAGTAGTTGAAAAGCAATAAACAGGCAGCCTTAGGAGTACCTCTTATCACAGTTGATTTGAAGATGAATTCCAATTCCTGAATTATGTACATTTTCTACTTTGCCTACATTCACATGAATGTTAAGATGTAGATAAATGTAGTTGCTTTCACGTGAAATATAGGTAATTTTACATGACATGAAAAATGTTCCTATCACTGGCTCCATTCTGCTTTTAGATTTTTGATACCAAACCTTGCCACCTTTACTTCAGAAAGGTTTTTCCCGTGCTTTCTACAGATCTAGCAGTTCCCCCTTTTCTGTTGTTTATATTTCCATAAAACGCTTTAACTTGTTTCAAAATATCATAAATATATCTATATATAAACGTGAATGATAAGCCTGTCAGATGTAAACATTTTTAAACTCACTAATTGGCACATGAGGAAGGTTATAGGCAGGGTTTTATCCGAGAACTTATCGTCGATTTTGCAATGACATTTTAAGATATTTGACTTTTGCGATAGCACCAAAATCTCCACTATCAGCGTCAAATCGACAACAGTGCAGCATGCCATATCTTCACTCAACACATGACCATCAAGCAACACATGTTTTATTTTGCACTAGCTTCAAATAGCTACTTACACAAAGCATTGCTTTTAAGTAATGCTATAAACTTCTGGTCACGTCCATCTTAAATGGCATTAGAAAATAACAGCTAGATTACATGCTTGGGAAATTTGGATACTCTATTAGTGGAGCCACCTAACGTTCCTCAGGGTTGGCAACTTATATTAACCATAAAAATGATGAAATATGGAAAAAATAAATTTTTCAGTCAAATAACCGAACTTATGGTACTTGCTCTTGCAATGCTATGACTGCAACATTCGTAGGCAAAGACTATGAAGTAAATGTGTAAGGCAAGTAAATGTATTGTTTTGGAGCTGGTACTAATCTCATCTATAGCCATTTTTGTTTTCTTATGTTTACTATTTGAGTTTTCATTTAATACTACTACTATTTACAAATAATGTCTTTGCCAAATATAATAACTAATATTTCCAATAGTTAGTACCACTAATAATTGATAATATTTTTGATGAATATATGAACCATACTACTTACATTAGTTGACAAATGGCATTGGAGGTTTTTCTATTATCAGCCTTATTTAGGTTCTATAATGAACAATATTACTGCTAATTATTCATATTAGAAAACTGTTACATTTAAATGATTAGAAGTATTTAATGAAAGCTGAAATAGCAAATAAATAAAGAAAAAATGTCAGGCACAAATGGGATTCAAAGTAACTCCAAAACATGAGAATGCTTTCTGTGTTCTTACTCTCTGACTCCTGGGTCATGAACCTTACTGCCAGATTTTGCAAGCCCTATACAAGTATATATTTATATGATGGGTTTTCACCCAAGTTGTAAAACTACTAGATAGTGTATTGTTTTTAGATATCTATTAAAACAATGCAAGTAAATATATTACAAGGGTTAAAGTGACAGAGTGGTGGCACTGTGATGTAATAGGTAAATTAAACTTATTTTATTGTTCCTCAATATTTTTGACATATTTACCACCTTGAGCAGAAAGTTCTAAAGTAGTGGAGAGCTCCTACAGCTTATTAATCCTAAAGAATGTATTCTAGACCATACACTTATTGAAGTATTTTATTCTATGTTAATAAACACGTTTATTTTGGATCTTAGAATCTATGGTGCTATCTTATGTGGGAGTGCTGCAAAGCTCTTGTTTGTATGTGCCTATCAATGCCACAAAAAGCTTATAAGAGCCCACATCTAGTGATAATAATCACAAATTTATACAACTTACCATGTCTTATTGGAGCTGCCATCTGAGGGGATGTAATTTTAGTGTTGCAGTTGTTCCAAGACAGTTCTGGCATACCTCGCACAGATCTTGTTTCCAGCATGATAATAGGCACAACTACACAGTGCTAACTGATGTGCATGCTTCTAACTATAGCTTTTACTTGCTTTCTTCTGCTTGGAAATAAAAACATGCTGTTGAAGCTGCTTGAATACATACATAACAAAAATAAAAACTATGCCATTAGTCCTAATGCAGCAGTCTGCCCAAATGAAGAAAAATTACAGCTGATGTGCAAAGGGTCAACAAAAACTGGATTGCAGCTCGAGAAATGACTCATTGTGATCGTATTATCATAACAGTCTCCAGCGAAGGGAAGCAGATTTTGTCACTGTGGGGGTGGGACCAAAACATCAAAAGGTAATAGAGCAAAAGTGTACTTACCAATTTTCAAACTTGACATATTACTGCGTCACGCAGAGGTACTAAAGATGAAGAAGCATTTGGAGAAAATAAAACGCATTCACCCTCACAAATATTGTCCGACATAACAACTATCTGGAAAATCAGGAAAACTGCTGTGAAACATTGACAGCGCAAATTGACAGAATAGATGGCGTCCCTGGCTTGTGTGAAAACCCATCGAGATAGAGATGGTAAATCAGACATAAAGAAGAGCGAGGTTTAACAAGCAAGCAAGTACCTCGTAACCAATCACAACTTTATTAATCAGCGAATTTCAAGATAGTGGTGTGCTTCCTTGTGAAACAAACAAATGAAATGCATTCAACTGGTCAGCACGTGACCTCCATGATTCATCAATAACCCCTGTCATCAATGAGGAGCGTAGTGATGTGTTACCCATTGTTTAAAATATACATATTCGTTTTGCAAAAATCCCAAAGTTGGGCGAGCGCAAACCACAGTACCGGATCTAGGACCTATTTAGGTATGAATTGAGCCCCGAATCTCACCAAGTCAAAAAAGTAACTCATCTACCATACCTGGAATTCACAAGATTAGAATGGAAAAATTAAAATACCCAAAATTGCACCCCATATAATTCAAAGCATTCTGACCGAAGAAAATTTTATTAGTGATATTAAACATATATTTTCTATAATATAGACATTTTATTGCAATGGAATGGGTAATTCTCTAGCTTAACAACACCAGCCTTTTTTGCTTCTCCGTCCGAATAGACACGAGGTTTGGGTTGTAAATGATGGATGAGATTAAAAATGCCCGCAAATGGGTTAGTTGCAGAATATCGATATTATCTGGGTTTCAAAAGGTATAACCACGTGCATAATCAGGACATTAGCAGGATGGAAGAACGCCCTCTAAGAAGGGTTTTGACAACATTGTCACATTTGCGAGCTATAAGTTTTCAGAGATTTATTGGCGAGAAAAAGTTTTTAAAAGATGGAAGTTGACCCAGGAGGATCAACAGACGACGCAGTTCCACATACTATGAGGAAAGAGCTGAGCGGTGGCGGAAACCGAGCAGAATCAGAAAACATGAGCTCACTGACGCAGATGTCATCGGAGCAGAAAACGAACGAAAAACTGATGCTGATTATAGACGACCAGGCGAGGCAGATTCGAGACCTAGTGGAGACCATCAAGGACCAGACAGCCAAAATTGACAGCCTGACCGCCCAGGTAACCATATTACTAAATTCAAAAGAATCCCCTGAAGAACAGACAAAGACCCTAAAAAAACCACTGAGAAACGTTACTGATGATCATCTCACATCCACAGACGAAGACGTACAGATCGACGGATTTGTGAAAGCAAAATCAAGAAGGAGGAAAGGCAACAAGGCTGAGCGATCAACCCAAGACTTTCCTCCTCTTCCGAATACAGAATCAATTCCATTTCACACCTTCCCCGATTCATCAAATCGAACCACTATTAATGCTTCTACTACCAAGCCAGGGACCACGTTATCTACCTGTCAGGTGACTCCGTCAGCCGATGTTACTTCTCCTCCGTCATCTCGTCCAACCGTCGTGGCATCAACACAACCCTCACGACAAGGGCGCATAACCCCGATCGTCTTACGCGACGGGACGAGATGGCGTACTTTAAATTTCAAGTTTATTTCCCTAGGTATTAAAATAGATCGCGCGGTTGCCGTTGATGCGGGAATAAGGATTATTCCTAAATCCGAGGTCGACTACCGTAAGATCGTTCGCCTATTCCGAGAGGAAGAAGTGCCCCATCACACTTTTCCTCTCCCTTCGGAACGGAACATCCATGCGGTGGTTCGAGGAGTTCCCGTCAACTTTTCGGATACTGAGATTAAGGGAGAACTGGAGCAGAGGGGATATAGCCCTCTTCACATCATGCCTTTGGTGGTCGTGATACCGCCCAAGACTGAAAAGTCTCAGCAAGTGTTCAACGAACACGAACTGCTGGGACTGGCCATTCGAGTTGAGGTTCAGAAGAACTCCAGACTCATTGGGCAGTGTCACCGCTGCCAAAAGTATGGGCATGCGCAGTCATATTGCACTGCACCCCCCAAATGCTTAAAATGTGCAAAGGACCACATGACGCATTTGTGCCCCCTCACAGAAGAGGAAGAACGCAAGTGCGCGAACTGTGGAGAGGGACATCCCGCAAATAGCCGGACTTGCAAATTCACTCCAAGGAGGAACTTGCAAGTTATAGCGCAAAGGCGCAATATATCATACGCGGACGCAGCTCGGGAGGCAACCTTGCCTGCCCCCTCTGCCCAACCTCCCTTGAGCACGCAAAATGTGGACCTGGCAACCGCGCTAAGGTCCTTACAACAAATAATAAGCCCACTGATTAGCGCTGCCCAAGCGTTGCAGGCGATATTTCCTGTAAATGTCTAGGTACAATAGTAGACAGCCTGCATTCATCAAAATTCTTTTTTGGAATTGTTTGGGCATGAGGGATATTCCCAAAAAACGGGAATTTCATCAAGCTCTTTTGGATGAAGGTATAGATGTGGCCTTGCTGCAGGAAACGTTGCTTAATCCGGGAGATCGTTTAGCTCTCCCGAATTATGATATTATCCGAGGTGTACAGATTGAATGGTCGAGGCGGCGGTTTAGCAGTGTTGATTAAGCGCGGTTTAGCAGCGTTGATTAAGCGCGGTATAGACTATTATAGAAGCACTAATGCGGAGATGCATAGCATCGAAGCAGCTTCTGTGGTGGTCAATATGGCGGAGGTGTCTCGTTGAAGATCACATCGGTGTATGTCAGGTGTGGTGCTAGGCTACAAGAGGCGGATCTGGAGGTCCTTTTGGACTACTCGGGTCCGCTATTGTGGCAGGGGACTTCACCTGCAAACATCGAGCATGGAATTCTAGGTTGAATTCCACTAGTGGGGTTCGATTGTACAACCATGTGATGCGAAGGGTACCTTATACATAGCACTGAAGAGCCGACACATCATCCATTCAACCATCTTCAGGCACCAGATGTCATCGATTTCGCGATATCTAAAAACTGTAGATACAGTATCTCTTCTCGAAGCTTGTATGATATCTCTAGTGACCATCTACCTGTTGTCTTGGATGTGGGCAATGAGAAAACTTCTGAGGAGGCAGCTCCTCCAAGGAAACGCATTGATTGGGACCTATACAAGTTGCTCCTTAGAGAGTTTCCCAATACCCCGATTATAGATGATGAGTCTGGAATAGATGCCGCTCAAGCGGAGTGGTCAAGTTTCATTCAAGCAGCTCTACAGCGTGCAGCTGTATTTCCTGTACAACGACACGGCAGACCTTTTTTGCCTGCGGACATTCCTCAGAAAATCTCTGACAAAAGAGCCGCTATTAAGCAGGCAAAAAGGTCTTGTCATCCTGATGACATTCGTAGGGCTACAAATCTTGTCCATGAAGTGAGAAACGCACTGCACGAACTCCGCAACGAGCAATGGAGCGACTTTCTGGCGGGAATGCTTGATTCAAGTATTCCTCTCTGGAGGGTCGCAAAGTCACTCAGAAACGGAAAGCGAGAATAACTCCCACACATCCACGGTCCTGAAGGCATAGTCTTCAGAACGGAGGATAAGGTCGAGGTTTTCGCTGATGCCATGGAAAAACAGTTCTCTCCCAACTATGATCTCGATAATGACCTCGACGAGGAACAGCACATCGTATGATCCGTCAGGAGATGTTTTAGAGCCAACGGCGTTAGCGGAGGCACTGAATGCTCTTCAGATGACTCTTCTTCAGAAGATTCGTCTGAGGCTCCACATAGCACATTAGCGGAACCCTCCGAGTTTCCACATTGCACCCCAGCGGAGTTAGCTGTCAGCTCCTTCTAAGCTCGCCGAAAAGTTGATTTATCGTCACCTTGAGAATTTTTCGTCAAATCACCATGTGATTCCTGACGTCCAATTCGGTTTTCGGTCCGAGCATAGCACCGAGCTACAGGCAGTCAGGCTGGTGGAGCATGTTACCAGAGGGTTCACCCTCAGCATGAGTACTGGCATCTTGCTTTTGGATGTCTCAAAAGCCTTTGACAAGGTGTGGCTTCTAAAATTACTGAAATCCTTTCTTGAAGGAAGGAAGTTTCGGATCAAAATTAACAATGTTTTGTCAACATCACGGCCAGTACGGGCCGGAGTTCTCCAAGGTTCGGTCCTAGGACCAATTCTTTATTCGCTTTTCATCCATGATGTCCCTTCCCCGAGCAACTGTGAAGTCTACCTATATGCTGACGACACTGCTCTTGTCGCCCAGTCGCGTACTGGTGATCTGGTTCACGATGGGTTGCAGAATGCGGTGGACGAAGTTCTAGAGTGGGCGGAACGGTGGCTGATAAAAATTAATCATACGAAAACGCAGGCTATTTATTGTACCAAAAAACGTCGCGGCCCCCCAGCAGAGGTTTCTGTAGACGGAAATCGTGTACCATGGACAAATTCTGCCAAGTATCTCGGTGTCACCCTTGATAAAGGCATGACCTGGCAGAAACATACAGCATCCATAAAAACAAAATTCCAAATTGCGTTTCGGCAACTATATCCTTTGTTATGTAGATCCTCCAAATTGAGTTTGATAAACAAAGTTCGACTATATAAAATGATTATTAGACCAGCCATTACTTATGCATGTGCGGCTTGGTGTTTTCTTGCCAAGACACACATGCAAAGTCTTCAAGTACTGCAAAGCAAAACTTTGCGGACAATTTGCAACGCTCCATGGTATGTCTCAAATGAGACACTACACAGAGACCTTGACATTCCTTACTTGAGGGATTATGTCAAGCTTCAGGCGCAGCGACGTTATAGTCAAGCGGAATCGCACAGCAACCATCTGTTGCGTGACTCAGTGAACTACACAGTGGAGCAAGTTCGTAAACATTCAAGGCCACGGCTCGCACTGTAATCAAAAGTTATCGTGAATCTTTAGTAAACTCAAAATTACACTCTAACAAAACCGAATCAAAAAATTTTTTTAGTTCACCTCAAAATTAATCCGTGTACCAAGTCAAAAAGCCTAGGTGTTTCCTCTTAAACTAAGCATATCTGTTTTTCTTTGCTCTTCTCCTTTTTTCTTCTCTTTTCCTTGACTTTGTCTGGTTTCTGGGCAACCAGGACTGACAGATTCGACTAACGTACATCAGACAGTGACTAATGGGCAAAGGTCCTACGGATCGCCCAGACAAATAAATGACGAATAGTAGCAGGATGGAAGGGATCATATATATACCGCGATGTTGCCAAATTGAGGAAATATGTGAAAATTAACGAAAATACGCATTTCCACGCGTAGCAGCTCTCCTTTTAATGTAGAATTTGATCCCCTCTGAGTCGCGCATTAGACATTATGCAGGGTTGTGTGAAGTCATACATACAAATTTAATTATTAAAAATATCCATCAATTCGAAAACCTATTAAGTAATGAAATCTAGCTACACATCACACAGTCTTTGAAAACAAACATTCAATTAAAACCTATTATATAGTAAAATATTTCAGAACTTTTATGTTTGCGCTCATTTCCAGACTCATTTCTTTCATCTACACTCAAAGGTGGCTGGTCTAGTTAAGCTAGAGAATTACCATGGAATGAAGCTCCCAATCTTTTAGACTGTGAAATACCTATGAAACAAATTTTGGAACTATTAAAGTGGGCAAAGGTTATAAAAAACAGCAAAAACAATTACTTTGGGTAGGTATTTGCTTCTAATTATCGTTCACGCGATACCGACTTCCCAATTTCGTGATGAACATGAACTTTGACACTTCAGGGTATTTCTCAGACTTACTAGAGAGAATTAAGCCACTACAAGGTAAAGATAATCGATTTAAAATAGGGTCACTTCGAAAGAAGTCCAAAGGCCTGTGATCCTAGTTTCTGGGAAAACAAGTTTCTCTGGACTGCTACAATTATATACAAGTAATCAAAAGATGCAATTTTCATAGGAGACTTGAAGAAGTTTCATGCTGTGTACCCAGGATGCAAAATCACTACTGAGAGTGAAGAACCTGTCAACGAGGAAAGAATAGCGCCAAGTAGGTTGACTCTGAACTTCCCACGCAAATTGTCATCAGTTCATAAAATTCATTCAAGAACCGGTAATTTAAATGCTTTTAAATCTAACTGTAATGATTTTGTACAAAGTATTGTCCAATTTATATAACTGATACATCATCCCCATATACATCAACAATCTAGGCAACTAGAACTTTGATCACAAATTCACAATAATACATCTTAAAATAACAATCTCTTCGAAAGAGTCCCCCCTTCAGCAGCATCCAATATTTTTCTTTTCAATGATGGCTTCTCAATATCTCTGATGGTTCTCACATTCTTAGGCAGAGGCAGTTTAGATCCCAAGGTAGGGGCTGGCTTATTACTAAAGAAAGGCAACTGCAAGCATTCTGAGGCCTCCCTCCTTTTTATGGGATTCAAGACTAACATACTTTCTATCAGATCCAACAGGTCATTTCCTACAAATTAATATAGATAAGATAAAATAATAAGATTAATATAAATAGAGTACTACCTGCAGCAGTAAATATATTTTTCAGTGGTATACAAGGTAGAGGCTTGAACTCTATATAGTCAGAGAGTTGTTTCACTCCAGGCCAAGTTTCTTCTGTGGGATTACCAAATACTGAGAAGATCTTTGTAAGTTGATCTAGATCTGATTCTCCTGGGAATAATGGAACCCTTAATAAAAGCTCTGCTAAGATGCAACCAACCTGAAATGTTGCAAACAAATTTTTCAATATAATCAAAGTTGCAATGATTGTAACTTAGATTTTCTGATATGTAAAAGCCAGATTGAGTGGTACCAATAATCAATGGATTTAACCAGGTGGAATACATTGATCAATTTTGGTACTTACTGCCCACATGTCAATACATGTCCCATACTGCTTGGCTCCATACAGTAGTTCAGGTGCTCTATACCATCTAGTTACAACTTGATGGGTATTTATTCTATTTGGAGAACCATATAGCTTGGCTAAGCCAAAATCACCTATCTTTAATACACCAGCAGCATTAACGAGCAAATTATTTGGCTTAAGATCCCTATGTAATATCCAGTTCAAATGCAGATACTCCAGTCCTAAGAATAAGAAGACATAGTCAACACTTGCATATTATAAACAAATAGTTATTCATTCATAACATTTCCTCATTTGTTACCAGCAGCAAGTTTCTGGTAATGCTTAGCAAGAAGAGGCCACAGTTTCAGACAGTTGACATGTTCGCTGCCAGACATATTTTTTAACATGTGTCACTACGCCAAACATATATTTTACATTGAGCACTAGTGAGCCACCACATAAAAAAGACGTTGGTCCCATCGGGGCCACATTCCACATTAAGGAAAAATCAAAGAAATTATATGTGCGGCTTATAGCTTCTAGGCCATGTTGGTCCATTTCTGCAGGTGTACATAGGTACATGAGTGCCAACGGCTCAGCAGCTATTAGAGAATGCATTGACCCAGTGGGACCAACATAGACTGGTAAAGCAAAATATATGTTAGCCAATGTGGCCTGCTGAGGCGACATGAGTGTCGGTCCTATAGGACCAATGTGGCAGTGAATGTGTTAAGCATACATATATTGCAAATTGAGTTGTAAGTATGATATAGACATAATAACCTTGTAATGTCTGTAAAATATAAGCTTTGATGTTCCCTGTTGTAAGGATGATAGTGTTGTCTTTGATAATTACTTCAAGATCAGTGTCCATGAAATCAAAAACAAGTGAAACATTGGACATATGCCCAAAAACATCTAGCAGTCCGATCAGGTTTTTGTGGTGTAGTTCTTGCAATAATTTAATTTCCCTGAGTGCGGTTCTATTAATTCCATCGTCGGCTTCCTGTCTGGTACCTATTTTTATTTTTTTAACAGCTACGAAGGTATCTGTTTCCACATCTCTGGCTTTGTACACTGTGGCAAATTGACCCTCCCCTAAGAATTCGATTTTTTCGTATCTCCTTAGTTTATTTTCCATCTCGGACAAAAATAGAACCCATCAAAAATTTTAAATACCACAAAAAAGGTGAAAATGGGACGACACAAAACATACGTGGGACGACCTCAACAGAAAATGACAGGACAGCACCTTAACCTGACTTGGAACCACAGAACACATTTCACTGGCAACTCATTGCCTGACAGCATCATGACAGGTATTAATATAGCCACGTATGAACCAGAGGTCTAACTAAACTACAAAACTAATTGAGCGACATGTACACAGGAAATCAACATCTGTTGCCTTAGTTAATGTCACCACGTGTAGATGGTGAATCGGGCTACTTAAAGGTATGGCTTAAAGGAGGGTAATGGAGTTTGAAATGTGAAGCCTGGATCTGTGGGTGATAGAAATGAAAATTTGTTTGTAAAAACATTATAGATACTAGAAGTCGGAGCAACAACATTTCAATGGAGGGTGAGGTATAAAGTTGTTTCCAAAATACATTACAGATGCTAGAAGTCGGAGTAGCGTTCGAGAGGTAAAGAGTTAACGACATTTTGACTCTATTTATTCTCCGTTAAATTTCAGTATTAAATAAGTCATTAGCACAGCCATTGGCAGCAAATCTCGGGAGACACCGCGTACAAAGTAATGTTGCGGTGTAGGGTTGGCATCGCCCCTTAGATCATCTGAATTAATAATTAATATCCTTATTAAGTTATATAAAAATTTTCACATGAGCCATTTTATTTTCTAATCATTGTCTAACTGGAGTATATTTATACTTACAGGGTGTAAACGTTATGGTAGGCATTATTGAAATGTGTAATAGGGGGGTCAAAACAAGTCAAAATGTTCTATGACCCATGTCAAAAGTCAATAGAATTTTTGTCTAAATGCTTTATATTTTTACAACTTTAAGTGTTTTATATCGACCACAATCACCACAATCTTACTAATTTTTATAATCTAATCTAAAACGTTTTTAAATTGGGTAATTACCAATAAATGTTAAGTTAAGTAAGCCAAAATTTGGAGTCAGTAAGAAAGTTAGTTTCATCAAATTGAGTATTTAAAACACACTTGACAATAGCGCGTCGGTCATCATCACTCTTATTGAACCGGCATCGGCAAACGGTAACAGTGGTTAGTTATCCTTTTGCATAGTTTTGCGGCGTTCTCAGAATTATTTTACTTAAAAGTCGCTTTTCTCTAAAAAACAAAAAGCCGCTTTGACCCACTTGTTATATGACACAATACAAAAAATGTTTTTTTTACATTGATCAGAAAGTGCATAAGAAATCGTATAAAATGGTTAGAACCGCAGATCAATATCTTTATTCCTGGTGGAGAAATAGGCTTAAATTACAATTTTCAGGTAACTACCACTGGATGAGAAGGAGGATTTCTGCTATAATTGTGTAAAATGTATCTATCAATATGGTACCATTTTAAGCTATTTTTCTTTAAAATTTATTTTTACGATTTTTCATATAACCACTAGCTACCGCTTGATATACAGGGTGTTCGTTAATGATATGCGAATATTTAAGCGTGTGAATCTACATGAAAAATAAAAGGTAGTTTGCTTTAGAAACTATGGTCAAAAAATGTTTCCTTGCAAAAACTCGGGGTGTTGAAGTTTTAGGGAAAAAATGGAAATTAATTAATATTTTCGGATCGCTTCAGATATTACACCGATATTCAAAATGTAGTGGAAGTTGTTAAAGTTGCATATTTTTCAATGCAAAAATAATTTTTAACTTTAACAGTGGCGCGCGTACGGGTATTGACTTCGATATTTTTTAAGAAAAAAATGGTATGGTTTTCTGCCAAATAAAAATTATTTTTGAATTCCCCGTTCAATTTAAAACAAATGATTTCTCTTGAATTGCATTCCTTCGAGGCGCCATTTTTGAGTAAAAAAAATAAAAACCGTTCTATTTTCCGAGAAAATTAATGTAATAATTGAAGAATGCAGTTTAGCAATACCTAAATATCTAGTTGCTCTGGAATATGACACTGACATCTGACCATTCTCTGTTATTCAATTCTGTTCGCTGTGACATCTTTTTCATTATTTAGTTTTTACAATCTTGTTAATAATGGTGAATTATTCAAATGCAGAAATGGCGGGAATGCATTACGTATATGGCCTTGCCGACGGTAATGGTGAGCAAGCCAGACGGATTTATCACCAGAGATATCCCGATCGTGCTTTGCCAGATAGTCGAACCTTTTCTGATATTCATCGTCGTCTTGTTGAAACTGGTTCTGTCCGAAAAGGAACATCTGAAGGTAGACCTCTAAGGCCCGTATCGTCAGTCGTCCCTACAATTGTAGGGCGGGTTTAGGGCCTCCTTGATTGTCATACTCCTTTCCCTCTTTCAAAAATTTCTAGATTACACTTGTCCCGTGTCCGCGTCAGCGCTCTCCTTTGTGAAGATATGTTTTCTTTTTAAATTGTAGGAAATTTCAGGCTGATAAAACATGATATAACTCAAAGGCAAGCACAATTTGATGCGAATAGATGTTTGTGACATAACCTCAAAATAGAGTTCTGACACGGAGAAGTAGAAAACTATGACAATCAAGGCGGCCATAAAGGCGCCCTACAATTGTAGGGACGACTGACGATACGGGCCTAAGTGTGAGAACACCTGAAATTTTATCATATTTTATCTTACTTGGCTTTGCAATTATGAGATACGTAACATATTTTTTAATACAGGGTGAAAACCATATACCACTGACCTCGTAATGTGTACGAGAGAGAAGCGCGCGTTAGAAAGAGATAGAACCACTTGCCGATTTTTTTTTGACATTATATTGGTTTTTTGTGACAGCACGTAGGTTTTTTACTTAGCACTAGCCGATGGACACATTGTTAACTCATTTTGTAGTTGTATGAGTCGCCTAAACGTCATGAGGCTTCAGTTACCAATGTTTGGCTCTAATGTGATGTAAAATCTGCTTCAGAGATGGCATTACTGGAGGTAACGGCAATGCATAAATAGTGAGGTAGTGAGGATTTGTGTTCTAATAATATGTGTTGATGATAATTCCATTGGATTCTTGTCTTAAACACACTTACTTGAGATTCTAAGCTAGAAATTTTTTGCGCATCCACTTTTTCTTATTCATTCTTGAAATTACATATCCAAATTTGCTGAATTTAAAAAATGAGAGATATAAGAATTAACTGTACACTGTCGAATTACAAGTCATATACATGCATACAGAAATTACACACAGCGCAGGCGCATAGGTGATTTCCCGTAATTCTACTCAAAGTTTTTGAAAACACAAAGGAACGTAAAAAATCATAATTTATAAATTTGAACATAACCTGTCTTCAGAAAGGACAACATATAAATTACCCGTCCGGCACATCTAATAGATATACTTCATTGGCACCCTACTCAGTAATGATTTTCTCACACAGCAAATATCACTGGTTTTACAACCATGCAGAACAATACACACAATCATTCAGATGATCTTGCTATTCAACCAACTTTCTTCTAAGAGATGAGAACTATAGACTACTCGGCTTCACAAAACATCTACAACCAACAATGCGTATACCTAAGCGTGTAGTTGAGCCATTCCTCTATAGATGGACGCTTAAAACGATCCTAGTGAGCAAACGTGGAATGACTGTTTGCACCCTAAAAACTACCTAGCCGGCAAGATGACAACTTATAGGTTTGTTTGACGTTTAATAGGGTTTTCACATAATATCCGTGCCGGTCATGTGTTCGAACTGCTTTAATTAAGTATTTGACGTCTATACTAACTTATTTTAGTTTATTTCCTTTGTTTCTGTTCTAGAATGTCCCGACACATTATACGCTCTTTTAAACGAGATAACGGCTATAATGTTACAATGGATGTAACACATCCTATAATTCGCACCCTTTGTGGATCTAATACGAAAATACTACATTATCTTAAAATCGTGCCTTTTTTTTTTGGCATTAGAACTAGGTGTTCATGCAGCCAGTCACTAAGCATTATATGAATGATGGATCATCGGTTTGATTTTGGATTCATGTTTTTCCAAACTGGAAGTCTACTGTTATAGAGGGATGATGCTAGGGATCTTCACAGAGGACACTTCTTCACGCCTCAGGGGTCGGTCAGGGCGACTTCTTACACGTGCACAGGTAGACCACGGTAAGAGGAGGGATATAACAAATAGGGAGGCAACAAGGGTATGTGAGGTGATTATAGGTTTACATTGATTGAATGGATAAATTCAGCCAGGCTGTCGTAGATCTCCTTTCTATTTAAGCATAATAAATGTATGAGGTTAAAAGGAGTCAGTACATTTAAGTCTATTACTCTGTTTATTAGTCGCAGGGATTGATTCATATTGTTCTGACAACCGAATAATAGGAAATCGTGCCTTATTGTTACATTTTACACTATTCACAGCATAAATAATTCTTCCTATCTATTTCTTAATATATCTCCATAATGAATAAAGATAATAATCTGCGGTTTTCGCAGTTTTATAGAACCTTTTATGCACTTTCCGATCAATATTAAAAATTATAACGTTATATTAAAAATTTTCAAAACAATTCAGAAAAACGCTGACGCATCCATAATCCGCCATCTAGCCTCCACAAACCGAAGCAATCTGACAATTTTGAGCAACCATTAGGAACGCAGGTGAACATGAAACGATACCAAGATTATCAAAATCGATGCAACCGAACAGAAGTTGTGAGTTTTTCTACAATGGCATTCAACCATTGCCCCACCGTAAACTAACCAAAATAAAAAAAGCATAAGCAAAAAAGGTCAGAAATTCGTTCGTTGATCTACCTGAGACCAAATTCACGAAACAGCTGTCCATGGTTGGCCATTTGTGGTCGGACGTGCGAAAGCACTAGTCATTTTAATGGCGAGTAGAGCGTGTCTCCTGTAGCACCAGAATCGGCGGCATCTAGCGGCCTCAGTGGTGTCCCGACTGACCTTGCTGTTTTCACTTTCGCAGTAGTCGATGTTGGTAACAGATGGCACTTTGTGCTCGATGGCACCATTTACTGCAACGTTATACCATTTAACAATGGTTTGGCCAACACTACTCCCCTGGATATCAGAAATCAGAACTACTCGTAATTTACGGCAAATGCCCGC